CTTCCATTTTAGATTACAGCAATATTACCAATGATTTCGCAATGCAACTTTTAGTGAGTACAGCACGAATCTAAACCCTTTATTTCACAAACGTTCCAACCTCAAAACGCACCTGGCCATCGCCCATAATAAATCGAACGAACCATCTTGACCGAAGACAAAGACATTTCAACGTTGTCACGCATCCTGTCATCAATTTCAGCGTTCGTGACACTGAGCTACTTATGTAAATTTTCGGATCACGCTCTTGGCCTAATCGTGAACTCCCACTGACAATAACGGTTTGCTGGCGACTCTGACATGACCTCGAAATTCAGATCCTAACATGCTACTAGGGTGTCTGGACCAATAAGTTCAAAGTAATTTAAGTTTTCCAATTCCAATTGAGAGTGCATTTTATGGTAACCGAAAATGTTTGGCAGTCGTCACGGGCACGGCACGCTGGGCAGAGGGGGGGGGGGGCAAGGATTGGGATTGAGCAGACTTTTCAACAACACTCACATTCTGGAGTTCTCTGCGCTTCCGCTTCTCAGTGTGGTCTCAAGCGTCGGCGGTTGTCCTCCGGCTCTGGTCACTCGAACTGAAGAGGCTTCTCGCGGGTGACCCGGACTGACGGCGGCTCCCAGATGGCGTCTCCGGCTCCAGCTGTGGACTGTGACTCTCGGCTGCTCGACTGTGATTCTGCCTCTGGTTGGGTGGCGCACCCTTTTATAGTTGGGGGGGGAGGGGTGACTGCCACGCCCTTGCGACGTCATCTTCCTCTGCCTTCTTCTGGTGGGTGGGGCCGTAAGATGGCGCCCTCTGTCCTGTTTAGTCACCTTGCTCCTCTGTGCCTGCAATTTTTGGCCGTCGAATCGTCTTCGTGTTGAGTGCTTTATCATTTTAGTAATCGCTGGCATAAAACAATCCCCGAAAGGTTTGTGATTTTCGAGTTTTAATTTTGATTCTTCAATTTCATTTTATTCAAACTTTTGTTTCCTTCCGTTTCGTCTGCCGGCAACGCCCCTTGTGACGTCACTCTTGCTCCGCCCACTGGCCCGGGTGTGGCCGTAAGTCAGCGCCTTCTTCCTCTGCGGAGATCTCTGGAACTACCTCATGAGGCCATTGTGAGGTCGGTCACCCGGTTGTTTTGCCAGGGTCACTCACCCTGGGCTGATGTACCCGACAAAGGAGGCTGTGTGCTCCAGCCGGCATCCATCCTTGACACTGCTCCATGATCTGTTGACATATCTTACTGATCCAGCGCTCCCAGCCGTTATCTGTCCTCGGCGTGGGTCCATGAGCTGTTGACAATGTTACTGATCCAGCTGTTACTTGTTGGGGTTCGAATCGTTCATCCTGCGGTAGCTGTCTCCAAAAGCGCGCGTCTTAATGGGAGTTTAACGGCTGCCCATTCTGTGCGGACAGTGATAGATTAGGGGAACTGGGGGGGGGGGGGGGGGGGGGAATTGGGTGTGGGAAAGCGAGCTAGGCGTGTGGCCGGACTGCGAGGGAGAGGGACTGCCGGACCGAGCCGTGCCGAAAAGATACTACGTTAAATGTTCAAGATGTAGCGTGCTACAGCACGTTAACACTTTCCTGCTTACAACTGCACTCATAGCCGGCGGGAAACTCTCTGAATGATCGCTGCGCAGTGCACACCACACCTCAGAAGCGGCGCAGACTGGACTGTGAGTGGGAAGTGTCTAGCTAAGTGCACCCGCACGGCGTCTCTGGCGTCACGCGCAGTCCGCTCATTTAACGCTGGGTGCGCGCGTCCATCTGGCTGTTGGTACTGGCGCGCTACATCGGCACTGGGGAGCCAAGCATCGTGGAACACCTCGCACTGAGTCTCACAAATATTGTGCAGTATGCAGCACGTTGTGACAATCAGAGGGACCTTGTCGACATCTACCTCTATCCTCTTCTGCAATTTGCGCCACCTGCCCTTCAATCGCCCGAATGCGCATTCGATAGCCATACGACCTGCGCTATGATATACATTGAACGACTCCCGCTCGGCCTCCAGCTGCTGTTGATCGACCGTCAGACCTCTGCCGCGTGCCGACGCCAGACTCAGCGCGTATGGCTTCATCAACCACGGCTGTGGTGGGTACGACCTTCTGCCATGACACAGAGATGGAAGGAGAAGGACGTATCGTTATGACATTAGGTACATGCTGGTTATGATGAAATTTGTTATCGATAAAGTCATTTCTTGATGGCTTTGCTTTAGTATGTGCTAGAAGCCATGTGCTTGCCTTTGCCAGCTTCATTTGAACCGTCACATGCCGTCTTTGAGGCTCTCCAGATCTGCTCTGGAGACATCATGTTGAAGCGATTCCACCTCGCCTCCACCTACGTCACCGTCGGCTTCCGGGGCGTCGTCACTCGGAACTGCCTCTTCGGGTTCTGTCCCGCCTGCCTCACACACTGCAGCATGATCAGACGAAGTCGTCCCTTCGCCCCCAAGGCTGTCGGGTTCCACTTGAGCCACCCCTACCTCGCACGGCCCCGAACATGCATTCCAGCTGGTCCTGGGTCAGCCTACGAGTCAGAAGATATGTTTGCGCTCCAAAGTTCTCCTTCATGTCGGCTAGCAGGCCTCGAACTGACTGGATAGTCACCAACCATCCCTCTGGAAGGCGCACATGTGTGCTTCGCCTTGCCGATGCGCATTGTGACCAGCTTGCGCATTGCTTCGTCCAGAATGGCCTCTTGCTCTGTAGAGACATTGTTGCCACGACGCAGTCGTTTGTGGTCGCAGGGGTTTTCGGCATTGAGGATATCTCCAACATTGTCAAACAGACGAAGAACACTGGCTGGTACGGCTGTACCCTCCAGATGTCGCTCCATTGCTAGAGCGCTTGAGGCACTGGTCAGCTACCTTCTGTTTGGCCAGTGGCCATACTATCAGCTTGTGAGGAGAGCGTGTGTAAACATATCATAGAAACCTCTTGTCTTGTCATGACGAAGCGGCCAGTAATAAGGACCTGATGTCTGATGAGGTGTGGTTAGTACAAAAACCTCAGAGTTTCGTCTGAAAAAACACTTTGTCAAAGCCCAGATACCTAGACGGTTTGCGTGCGAGTGCGTGCCTGCGCATGTTCCAGCCATCACTTGTGTTTTGTTCCCCGACTCTTTGGGGGCGTCACGTAGGAAGACTTGCACTTCCTTCTCCACCTCCACGTTAACTGGTTTTTGGCTCGGCCATGTTCTTGGCCGCGCTCGCCGTCGGCGTGTTGTCCGCCTCCACTCGCATTATTTCATGCTCCCGGAACCACATTGTTGACCCCTTTTGCAGCGCGCCATCTTGAGATTGAACACAAAGTGAGCGATGCCGTGAAAGTACCCAACGTCGGAGTCCATCAGTCATAGAAACACTTTGTGTGTGACCTTGAATATATACCTTAAACCACGGAGTCTCGACGCCGTGCAATGTGAGTTTGTCAAGTAGGAGTTTGTGATCGATAACGTCGAAGCATCGTTCTAAGATCGATGAGGCACGGGAACAATATTTCTCCGCTATCCGTGGCAGTTTGGATGCGGTCAGTAACGGGCGGTCTCGGTAGAGTGCCGGGGTCAGAAGCCGTGCTGGCTAGATGCCATAAGATGATTTTAATTAAGTCAGTAGATGCTTGTAGTCTAAACAATGAGCATATAGCTCAAGCTACTCAATGCCTGTCAGTTTCCAACAAATTTCAACAATCATTTACTGAGATGTCACAGATGTTGATAAAATGTGCTCGTGCTCGAGCGGGGACGTTATACATATTCATACGCGTGTGAGAACAAACTAATCGGTAGGTAGCCCATGACCAAGGAGGCTTGCTGCTTACCTGTGGCTCCAGATCAGATAACTTGAATAGGACTGACAGAGACAGTCCCAGGGGCCCCCCAGGCTCAGGAGGGTCACCACCACGAGTCTGAGAGTTCTGCAGTAGTTGCACATCTTCAGTGTTGACGGGCGGAGCGCTGGTCCGAAAATGACGCCCAGGCGCGCCTCCCAGCCGCTCACACCCCGATTGAAACATGTGCGCGGAAGCGCGTCTGGACCAATTTCTCGGACGATTTCCGGCCGGCTTTTGACATATTAGTTATTCAATGATATGAAAGAAATTGAAATGGCCATAAAGTTCATATGCTAACCTCATTTCCTTGATGTGGCGAAGTACTTCTGCTGGCAGTTCATCATCTTCAGTATCCAGCAATGTTCCTACTGCTTGGGCATGCTCTTCCTCTAAATGCAGCAGCATTTATACTTCATCTACTTCTTCTACTACGGCCGGCCGTGTCCGGCTTTACAGCAATCACACACACGCACACGTGCCTCGAGGGCACCGTCACATCCGCAGGAAGGCACACCTCTCGTGGGCGTTGTACAGCTCGCAAGAGGAAGCGAATGGGACGCGGCTGCTCCTTATCTGTTCACACCCCTTCGTCGCATTCAACACCATTCGTGACGCTTTTATGAAATCAATTCCGAGTAGCACGTCATAGGGCAAGCCCTGTATGACGCACATTTTCTGGTCGAGTTTGACAGCCCCTTTCTCAACCGTCAGCACCGCCTCGCCGATATTGGTCAGCTCTCCGCCGGTAACTTAGCGGAGTGAAATGCCGTCTCCTGCGCTCTGGCTAGGTCGCACGGGCAGCCTCTGCCACGCCGCCGCGGATAACAGCGTCACTGAGGACCCAGAGTCCAGCAAAGCTGAGAAGCTCTGATCTCCCACCCTCACTTTCAACTTTGGCAGCTCCGACTTCTCTCAATGAGACTATTTACCGAGAGAACGTCATCAGACATAACGAAGTCGTCTTATGTAGGCTGCGCACCGGCCATACGTATGCCACGCATGGTCATCTCCTCCGCGGAGAAGAGCAGCCCACCTGTCGCAGGTGTACCGTGCCTCTCACTGTCTCTCACGTGCTTTTATCTTGTCCTCTCGCTGAACCGAACCGGACACGCTACCTCGGGCGCATCGCTCCGGGTACCACTATCCGCCGCTTACTGGGTGACGAGTCACCCTGGGTTTTATCCGGCAACATCTTTTCTTTTATCCGTTCGATCAACTTCCAAGTGATATACTCGACCTGACCCCAATCCAACTAGCCCTCTCTAGTCCTTTCATCTAGTCAGTTGTCTAGGACGACACCTTTGCGCTGTTTTATCTTACCTTGCTATTTTATATCGAGTCTTACTTTCTAGTCTTAGTATCTAGAAGGTTCTTTCTTGTGGCACACTTGTTTTATTAGTACGACGTTATGGGCGCAAAATGACCTTAGCAGTCGGCGCGCCCTAAAGCCCCAATCAACAAACAAGAGAACGTCATCCTCCCCCGCCCTGTCTACTCCATCAGCCAATCGGTCGGGCGCTTTCCCGACTGGCCTTATCAGTTTAAAGGCTGCTGCTGAAGTGGCTGATGACCCGGCACCATCTCGCACGTAATGGGGTCCAGGACAGTTGTAACAGGCGACCGGTCCCCTCGGAGCGCCTCCCAGAGACGCGGCGGGACTTGTCCCTGGTGTCCCGGAGCCGCAGATCGAAGTATGGGATACTGGGGTAGCCGAGTCGGGAAAAGTATTTCGCCTAGTTCTTTCTCCCTTCCGCGCCGTATTCGCCACTTCTTTCTCCCTTCCGCGCCGTGATTCGCCAGAGAATTCGCGACGGTGACGGGGTGACGTCGTGTCTGTGAGAACTGTGGCTGCGACTGCTGCCGGGCCCATCCCCGCTGGAAGCGACATTGCTCTTCCGAGGACTCGCGCTGCTCCTAATTCCGGCATAACCCGGTCGTAACCGCCTCGACATGAAGTCTGACCGGTTCTTGACTGACACGTGTGTTCTTTGCCGGTACTGCGGCCGCGACTGCGGCAGGCGGCGCTTGGGACTGCTGAAGACTCCGCGGAACCACCGAGGACTGAGGAGAGCGTAGCCGAGGGACACCGAAAACAGCCTAGGAGTTGGGACCGACAGACGACACCTGAACTGCTGAGCACTACCCGGGGAGCCATGCTGCTGCTAGTGGAGGCGTTCTTCGCGGGCTCTCACCGGCAGCTGATCACCACACTGATGGACGGTGAGGAACGAGACTTATCTGTGTGCTTGGGGGGGGGGGGGGTCGAGGGAAGGGGAAGCTGCTGACGGCAAATCTCATCACTGGCGGACGGTGAGGGACGTGGGAGAGAGTGTGGTGATTTTGTGTGTTGGGACGGGGGAGGGGAAGCTGATAGCGCAGTTCTTCACCACACGATAGGGAAGTCACCACACATCGGATGGGTTGTGGTGTTTGTACACAAACCTAGTGTTGTGCGGGTATGGGCGGAAGGGGTTAATGGTATCATTAACCACGCTTCTATGTGCACGTGTGCGCCGCAATTTTAGCGCTGTTTTCGGTCCGTCTGTCCAGTTATTTTAGCATGTCGTCTGATCTATTCGCCTGTACATCTCAGAAAGTTCTGTAAGTCGCCTGTTGCCTGTTGGCCGCCAGGTCTACGGCTCGATGAGACCAACTGTCGGCTGGTGACCATGTCGGGTCGGAAGTGGCACTGGCGCGCGCGGACCTCGGCGCTGCACCTGGCCCAGCATATCCCCCGCGAGACGTACAGGTAGAACGTGGTACAGCGAGACGAACAGATGGGACATAACAGCTGGGAAATAGTTAGTTCGCTTCAAGATCGTTAGCACATAATGTGACGTGTCATGGGAAGGGGCTGGGCGAGTTCCAGCGTTGGACAATGTTTGTCCCGTCATATGCATCAATCACAACGTTGTGATCTTTCACCCTTCACGTTCGCTCCTCTTACATACAGCTACAGATGTCGCCAGCACCTGACTCCCCCTCTCCCTGGGACCGGCAGCGTACTGTTCACCTCGTCGGTGACTCCTCTGGCCGAGCTCTGCGGCCTCCGACCGGACCTGGCCGCCGTGCGAAAGGTGCTCTACTTCCACGAGAACCAGCTAGTGTATCCGGTGAGGAAGGCAGCCGACACCGACTTCCAGTACGGCTACAACCAGATCACTGGCTGGTGAGTGGCTTCGTCACCGCTGGCGAGTAGCCTGATGACCGTCTGGTGAGTGACGTGCCGCCTTAGTTGGGCTTGTTTTGCAAGTGCTTGTGATGACGTATGATAGCTAGTTCTTAGAGGGGGCTAAAAGTTGGTTTACGTCGTGCTAGACATATTTGCCATACTTGCTAGACCTTGCCTAAATGGGCTTTGATGCTTTGTATCTGCATGGTGCGGCAACTGACGTCTTAATTACACGTAAAGCCGGTCGTGCCTGGTCAGGCCTTGGCCGTGATGCTCACCTGACAATTCCGTTCATGATCTGGTAGGAAGCGCTCGATTACAGCTCACCTGACAGCTCTGTACATCATCTGACATCCTGTCGTGCGTTGCAGCCTGGTCGCCGACGAGGTGGTGTTCAACTCTCGGTACAACATGGAGTCGTTCCTCAACAACATAGACCACTTCATGAAGACCCAGCCGGACTACCGTCCCAGGGGACTGGCTGAACAGGTGCGGCGCCGGGGGCTCCGTGATTTTAAATTTGGCATTATTCTGTGATAAAACATCAGGGCAGCAGAGTACTCTTAGTTGAGAGATGAACATCATAATGCTTTGTTGTGGGCTCTGTTTTAGGTGTCAATGCAAACTTGGGTTTTCTCGATCGCTACGAAACAAATAATGTGAAATGTATCCCTAATCATTTCGTGTTCCGCATCTAGGTAATACATTGCAATTCATGCCGTCTCCAACGTTTCTTAGATTCGACTACCGTTCTGTTTCCCAACTCATTCGTGTCGTTCGCTTTTCGCTGGAGTAAGACTAACCGTTTGTGCTTGCAATTTCGACAGATACGGGTGAAGTGCCGGGTGCTGTACTTCCCGCTGTGTGTTCCGGAGACTGTCCTGGCGCTGCGGGAAGAACGGTCCGAGACAGACCAGGACCGGGAGAGCGGCGGAGACCGGGACCGGGACCAGGACCAGGAGAGCACCGAGGACCGGGACGGGGACCAGGAGAGTGCTGAAGACCAGAACCACAGCTCAGAGTCGGAGCGCCCGCTCCACATTCTGTGGCCGCACAGATGGTGAGCAGTACTGACGGTTTGACCACGGTGGACGCGAGGGATACTGGGTAAAGCACCATTGTCCTTTACATGAAGTGATAGTTTTAGTTGTCAACCACGAATGTGACTTCGTGTCTGTGTTGTTTTCAGGGAGCATGACAAGAACCCGTCGCTGTTTTTCGACACGCTGACGCGGCTACACGATGAGGGGGTGCCGTTTCGCTTGTCGGTGCTGGGAGAGCGGTGTCGGGAGGTACCGGACGTGTTCGAGCGAGCACGGACCCAGCTGGAGGTGAGGACCGGGGCGATAGGGCTTTCCGGGCTTAAACGGCGAGACATTGCTGCTTGTGATGCGGCATGGCAAGCGGTTGGGCGAGCCTTAGCCAAGAGTGATGGGTAGCTGAGCGAGTCAATCATAAACGCTTAAGTATCGGTTTAGTAAGTATGTCACGTTGCAATCCCATCCAGTCATGTCGAAACATCTCTTAGACGTGGGACGATTGATGAATTTTTGATGTCAATACATACAATACATACATACACGAGCTACTATGCGTTCCGCGTTCCGATAGGACCATATCGAGCACTGGGAGTACCTACCTTCCAGGGAGGAACTAATGATTGAACTATGTGCTGTATCCTGACAGGACCATATCGAGCACTGGGGCTACCTGCCTTCAAGGGAGCCCCACTGACTGAACTGTGTGCCGTATCCCAACAGGACCATATCGAGCGCTGGGGCTACCTGCCCTCCAGGTATCCCCAGGACTAATAAACTATGTGCTGTATCCTGACAGGACCATATCGAGCACTGGGGGTACCTGCCCTCCAGGTATCCCCAGGACTACTAAACTATGTGCTGTATCCTGACAGGACCATATCGAGCACTGGGGTTACCTGCCGTCCAGGGAGGACTACTGGCGCGTGCTGGGAGCGGCTGACGTGGTCGTCTCCACGGCCGATCACGAGTTCTTCGGCGTCGCCGTGTAAGTGACTTGAAGATTCTCTGTGCGGCTGTAGTAATATGGACAGTGGAATGGCGGAGGGTGGAACGTGCGGGGCGGGGAGTTCGTATGTTGTGATGTTTGGTTGGTGTTGAAGATAAACATCTATTTTGTTTTTTTATGCTCATTCGTACCTTATTTTGCCTGATGTGGACCTTATTTTGCCTGATGTGGACCCCTTCCGGCCGAACTGGTGACTAATGAAGGGGGAGGCTGCCACTCCAAATTTGACCCCTACCTTGGTGTACCAGCTGCCTGACCCGCCGTCTGCCCGGTCTCCCCGGCAGCCTGGAGGCGGTGTGGTGCGGCTGTCTGCCACTCTGCGCGGACCGGCTCGTCTACCCGGAGTGGTTCGAGCGGCCGCTGCTGTTCCGCACCCCGGCCCAGCTGCTGAAGCGGCTGAGACGGCTGTGCCGGCGGCCGGGGGCGGCTCGCGCCGAGCGGCGCAGACTCCGACCGGACCTGGAGCGGTTCGGGTGGCCGGCGCTGAGAGAGCCGTACCGTGAACTGCTCGGCCTGCCGCCCGAACGGGACGGGGAAGAGGACCGTGAGGGAGACGGGCACGGGGAATGTGAGGGTGGCAGTCACAGTGGTGGAAACATAGGAGGAGACAGGGACAGTGACAGAGATGTGGACAGAGAATCAGGCGAAGGAACTGGCGGTAATGGAGACGGTTGTGAATGTGATGTTGATAAGGAGTTAGGTAGATAACCACTTGTGAATTGTGGGGAGACCGACGCGTCAAGTGCGCGCGAACTGTCGGATCGTGACCTGCGGCGAGATAGCGGTGTGAGATGAATATGTCGTTTTTCTCACAGACAATGACAATACAAAAACAATGTAATAAGACCAGACGTTTCGACAACAAAGTGCCTTCGTCAGTGGAAAACAAGATATAGGCTTTACATCGATAAAAAATATAGAAGACAACCAGCCTGCACGAAATGCAGTTTTACTTTTTTGAAATATAGGCTATATTTTAGTGCGAGATTAGATGTAACCTATATTTCAAAAAAGTAAAACTGCATTTCGTGCAGGCTGGTTGTCTTCTATATCTTTTATCGATGTAAAGCCTATATCTTGTTTTCCACTGACGAAGGCACTTTGTTGTCGAAACGTCTGGTCTTGTTACATTGTTTATGTATTGTCATTGTCTGTGAGAAAAACGAAATGTCTGACTCTTCTAATGAATATGTCGTATTTCAGCGAGTGTTGCTAGTTTCACCGTTCTGACAATGGAGCTGTGCGCCGCGTGTTGACGAGTGGATTTGCATCATCCCCCAGGTAGTTTTTCTGCTCTGCACTCAACATTTTTTAAAGCTAGAAGCCTGATTTTTCGTAAAGCTGCTCCTCTATCCCTTCTCAGCGTTCACTGAAATTTTCAAGTTTCTGTGGTTTCTGGTTTCGGAGACCTTGTTTTTCAGGTCATGTCATGACCCACATGACCAATACTCAACATCTTGCGTTGGCTATCGCTCTAGTGAGCTTTTGACACCTTGATTTCGGTACGTTTTTGCTAGTCTTACCTTCCACCTATCATGGAACATGTTATTCTACGATGTGTCGATCTTGGGGTCAGGGCCAAGGTCAAGCTAGGTCATCTAAAAACATTGTATTTTAGGTTTGCTGAATTTACTTTTCGTTAAGTCTTTTGACTGCATTTTTGGTAAAAGCTTCTCAGACCATGATCTCATGTAATAGGGACACACAAACCAATCGGTGCTCACATCGGTATACACACAGACACACACAGACATACAAACATCATTGACCTTGACCTAGCTTAACCTGAAATGACCACAGCCAGTAAAAACATAGTCGGATAGTGTGGCAAAGAGGTGTTCTAGCTGGCTTGGCACCACAAACGGCAGCGCCATCGGTATATGATGGGCACCGCACGTGATATTCCAACGGTGGCCCCAAACAGCAACATTTTTAGTTTGACCTGACTTGGGAGGTCAATGATTGACCTAATTAGGTAAAATTGGGTACGGGGACCCGCAGTTGCTACTGTACAGCGACCCTGAGTAAATTGCCCCAGCACCCTCAAAGGGAACAACGATAAGCTCTCAGAGGGAACGCACAGAAAGCCTCAGCTGCTCTTGTACAGGGACCGGCAGTCGATATCAGTGTTATTGGTTGTTATTGGACAGGACCGACGGCTAGAGTTGGGGTTCGTGTACAGTAGCAACTGCGGGTCCCCGTACCATTGGATTCGTCTCTTCCCAAAGAATCTGTCGGTGTTTGCCGCGAAGCTCCATCTCCAGCAGGAACGAAATGGCGCGGGGGTGGCCCCCTCCCCCCCCCCCCCATGTGCGTTCTAGGATGGGAAAATGGCATGTGCGGGCGAGGGTTAATAAGTCAATAAAAGATTGTCAGTCAGCCAGTGGTCTTCCTACTGACGTGCGAGATAGCGTCAGCGAGGTGCTGACGGATCCAGACCTCCGCGACATTCAAACTGTACGACAATTTGTAGCTGTCTTCGCATAGGAACGAAACTAAGCATAAAACTTCTACAGTCTGAAAGAACTAGAAAGGTTGTTTCGCGTTGCACAGGGTAGCGATATTCACAGGTTTGGAATTTGATACCATTTTTAGGTCCAAAATTCACTGGTCAAGTGAAAGAAGTGTCCGGACGCCCCTGCGGTGTCCAATGCTGCGTTTCTAGTGTTTCACTGCACAATACCCCTGCAACAGGCACCGCGCACCGAAACACAGTCCATTTTGCATGTTTATTGCCGTGTTTCTACCAATCACCACGTAATATGAACATCAACAACGGCCTCGCTGGGCTGCAACCGACGCTAAAACAATAAACGGGCGCCTACGGGCCGGGCCGCCCCGCCCCTTCCTGGACGAGCGGCGGACGTGACCCGGTCGACCCGACCCCGCCTCACCCAGCTCGGGTCGCGGAGAGGCGGCAGGGCCGGCCGTCTTCTAATAAAACTCCCTGCACTAGCGCCCCTACACAGACAGACAGACAGACGAACGAGCAGACGGCCTCCGTCGGCGGGCCCTACGGTCGCGGCGCGCAGAAGACACCCGCTGATATGTTTCGTTCAGTACATCACCTGGGCGGCGGTGTGCGCTCCGCTCCGCTCCTTCCCCTCCCCCGCTCTGTGACCCTCCCCACCCTCTTGTTCTGGGATAAATTCGGACGCCTCTGCGCCCCTTCACCGCGGACATTCAAATAAATAGCACTATCACGAGCGGCGTGATGCACGCATCTGCGAGCGTTAAAATAACTATCCAAGTCGCTTCAGCAGTAAAAGAAGTCGAATCCGGAGGCGACCCAACGATGGAATTGTCCAACACTAGCCGCGGACGGGCCGACGTACGGCCAAAGCGGTGTGTCTACAAAAATAGCCGGTCTCCGGTGGGCAGTCGGGGACGTGTCGGTCTCTCTCTCAGCTGACCGAGCACTTGGGCTGCTCGCCGTCAGCGGGGGCGGCGGCGGTACCCCCGGCAGCGGCAGGTGCCACCTCAGCATCCCCGCTATACGAGCTGCAACGGACGCCGGCCGGTCACTGAAGGTCCGCCCGGCAGGCGGCATCGACCCATACCGACCTCCCACTCCCCTCCAGCACTGCCCGGAGCCGGCTGCTGGGAACCCTGGAAATGTGCACAACTGACCCGGCCCTCCTCCCGTGGCCTGAAGCGCCACCTGACCTCTCCCCTCTTCCCCGCCTCCCCCTCCCCCGAGTACTGCCCTGTGCGCGAGTGGGCCCATAGACCGCTCTGCTTCCCCGCTCATCCTCTCCCCTAATCTCCATCCAGACCTCTAGCATACGCCGCATGCCCCGCTCTCCCGTTCTCGAGTCATGCAGTCAGTCCCCATGCAGCGCCGGCAGTCGAGGAATGGCGAAGAGTGGCTGGCGATCGGTGTCAGAATCAGACGCCAAGGCGCTGGCGGAGCGGCTGCAGAGCTTCAGACGAGCCTTGGCTGAGCTGCGGCAGCGCTGTGGAGAGCTGTAGCGAGCCGGCTCAGCGCCACAGACAGGCCGTGGAAGAACCTCACCTCGCGGGACGCCGGTGGCGGCAGCTCGGAGGCCGTGAGTCGCGAGTACGGTGCGCAGTTACCCACAGCCACATACAGGGTCACAACGGACGGACAGACGCACACACACACACACGCACAGGGAGAGAGCAGGCGAGCGAAGGGAGAGGGGCGGCGCGCGAGCGGCCGGTCGGCGGCGGTGCGGACCCGACACCGTGCTCTGCCACATGCCCCGGCGGAGTCGGCATCGTCTACTGCTGGGCGCCGTCGAAGTTGTAGGCCTCGTACTTCTCGGGCATGACGTAGCTGATGTCGTCCCACGGGTGTCGGTACAGGCCCTGCTTCAGGCGCTTCTGGTCCAGGTAGTGGCCTGCGGGGACATAGCGAAATGTAATGAGGGACATCTAGCGGTTTGAAGACACACGAGGACACAATTATAAGAGACAGACAGAGACGGAGAGCACAGACAGAAAAAAAGAAAAATACAAAAATAATAAGCGATGCTGTTCGTGCGTAAGCCGCTGCCACTTCAACAATGTATCTTCCTATCCCCGGCGGCGTCATACAGCAGCTCGAGCGGTGTCGATCGGGTCTTTCCTGCCGTACTGTGGGTATCCATAAAAACACAATTCTAACGAATAGTGTTTGTCCATTGCAAACAACCTGCGGGTATGTCGAACTCACCGATGAATCCGATGCTGCGTCCCAGTACGAACAGGCCGTTCAACACGCCGATCTCGACGTACTCCTGGGCCTCCTCACTGCAACAGCAGAACAGGTGGATTAGCATCGGGTGAATACGACACTGCACAACGGGAGACAGTGGGACGAGAGAAGACGGCCAAATAGATTCCAGATGGCTCCGTTCACTCTCTATTTATCGGTCACACGAGAAGAAATAAATACGGTGCGTTGTCGCTATGTTGCTAAGAGTTAAGACGGACCCACAAAAGGCCCATGGCACGACGTATAAATAAAATAGAGGAATATGCATCAAATTCGTTATTCTTCACAGCGAGTAGGTGGCAAAAGGCTAGGAGAATATAGTTTATTTGTAATAAGTTATGGTGGTGACAACACAATTATGGTGGATGGCGTTACACGCGTCATACTAACTTATCGTCAAATACCATCGGCAGTTTCAATCTTTAACTTCTATGATTCCGTCGTAGACTCCGTTCACTACTGCTGTGGAACGCCAAAAGTGGGCCGTACCCTAGCGCTCAGTCGGATCCACTAGAGGCCCTGGTTATCCTCGAGCTGGCAGTGCGCGGTGTCGGCGGCACGCTACGGCCCGGCGCCGTGCCAAGCGTGGCACACTCCCATTGGCCGCGCCGAGAACAGCCAAGGTCGCACATCCCAAACTAGCGTCGGATGAGGACGGTTGGCCAGTTGTTATTCCGAGAGCAGTGAGGACAGTGTCGGGAGGCTTGGGGAGACTAGCGGCTGGTGCTGGGCGAAGGCGGTAAGCGTGCGTGAACAAGTTCAGGTCTGTGGCCTGAGTTCCGGTGCGGTACGTAGCAACAACGCATTATAAACACTTCACAGTACAGTTAGAAACTTGAAACAAAGATTAGCAACTAAGGAAGCCTTTAAACAGCCTTTACTTCTATTGACAGGCGATTGAAATCGGTGCATCAAGGAGGCGTTCTTTCGGCAGCGTACCACAAACCACACGCTCAATTACCGCTCCAGCAGCTTCAGCATCACAACTCCTTCGCCATGACCTCCCGGGAGAATGTGCTGCTGCTCGGAGGGAACGGTCTGATCGGCTCAGAGACCGCTGCCCAACTGATCGCCGAGGGAGGCTCCGACCTGACTCTGCTCAGCCGCGGTACGCGCTACTTTGACGTGGACACGCGCGTGTTTCCGCATGTTCGCCTACTCACGTGTGACCGCCACGGTCCGCTGACGGAGCTGCGGCAGCTCACCGCACAGCTCAACCGCTGGGACTTTGTGGTGGACTTCAGCGCCCTGCAGGCCCCTGATGTGACCAGCGTACTGGAGGCGCTGGGAGGGAAGGTGGGCCACTACATCTACATTAGCTCCGACTCTGTGTATGAGGTGAGCGCACCGTCCGCCGGGGGAGGTCCCAGTGTCGAGGAGGACGCCCGTAGGCCCGAGGACCCGGCCGAGCGCGCCCGGCTGGCGGCCGCCGATCCGTACGGGGACGGTAAGCTGGCTGTAGAGGAGGCCCTGGAGGCGGCCGGAGTGCCATACACGGCACTCCGTCTGCCGGACGTGCTCGGGCCGCGTGACACCACCGGCCGCTGGTGGGTGTACCAGGCGTGGCTGCAGTACCTGCCGCACGTGGGCCGGCCCGTGCCCGTCACCAGCACCGTCAGCACGTGTGCCACCAGCTACGTGTACGTGGCGGACGTGGCGCGCGCGGTGCGCACGGTGATGGGACGAGTCCGGGCCGGCCGGCCGCCGAGCGGCGCCTTTAACATCTCTCTAGACCGGAGCTTCACGCTGCCTCAACTGATGTCAGAGATGGCCGCCGAGCTGGGCGTCACAGGCACCCTGACAGAGGTCACCGACGACCCCCAGCTGCACGGGTTCCTGCCCAGCATCATCTACACCCTACCATCCGTCACCCGCGGCCCAATCAACATCGCCCGCGCCCGGCGCGAGCTCGACTTCGAGCCTACCCCGTGGCCGACCGTGCGCAAAGAGCTGGTCGGGTTCTACCTAGAGGCGTTCCACCGGTTTCCGAAAGAGCGTCAGGTGATTCTGGAGAACCTGCAGCACATGGCGGTAGATGAAGAGCACCGGCAGAGGCTGGAGGTGGCCTTCAAAGAGACCCTGGAGCGGGGGATCGTCGGAGAAGCGCCGGACGCGCAACAGAAGGACGCCGCTCCTGCGTGAGATGCTACGTCTGATGTTGGTCACCAGGGCCCAATCTTACCATGTAAGTTTATGGTAGGGTAGAGTATGGCATAGTCAGTCATGCCACTTCGATCAGCATGCGACTATATGGTTGGATTTGTAAAGGCCGTCTGCCAAAAACGTGGTGCCTACGGTAATATATTAGCTGGGGCAGGACATGGACAAGTCCTCATTTACGTATTGCAATGATAGGTCAGGTTCGCATTTAGCGTAAATTTCACCGTTAAACGAAAATCAAATGTGACAATCAGTGCAGCATTTCACCGCGAGAATATTATTTTAGGATGCTCCGAGACCTTCTTCATTTTTTTTTTCAGCATGAAGTATTCGTCAATCTGCTCAGTTTTCTTTTTTGATATACCTTTTTGTGGCTTGTTAGCCTTGCCTTGTTTAACTTTATAAGCGTTGTGGAACTGTTTTTTTTTTTACTACTAACAATACGAACTCATAGCAATATAATGCATTGATCCAACACTTTTTTACTTTTTTGTTCTCTTACAATGCATTCCCATCAAAATCACCGAGAGACTGCATGCCCACCTTATGGGCCTGACACCCAGTGTTCAAATAATTCGCCCAGTACTGTGTGACACCATATTATCAATACCCTCCTGGTGCAAATCGTTGCAGTGGTTCGCAGTTTTGCCACTCGCAGTGACCACCCATACGTGCAGCAGTAGCAGTGACGCCGATACTCAAGGTGTTGAGGGTTTAGTGCGCATCGACAGCCGGAGGCCATTACGGTACTCACGGTGTGAAGATGCCCGAGTTGCGCAGCAGGTCCACGAAACTGGTGGCGATCACGCCGTCCACGTTCAGGATCAGGTTGGGCTTCTTGGACGTGGTGATCTTCTCCACTTCGAGCGCGTAGTTGAGCAGCGGCGTGGCCGGGAAGTTCTCCTTAACGAAGTTCTTGATGATCTCCACACGCTTATCCGGGTTGTTGATCTGGGATGGGCGCAGAAAGATCAGTTAGCCGTGCAATGTGGTATGAAAAGAAATGTGACCAAAGAGACAAAACTTGATTGCGGATTAGGTAACGAAAGCTGGTCAGCACATCATCCATACCAAGCTATTGAGGTATGAGGTCTGACTCGTATCATAAATTCTAAAATGTTCATAAAAAGAGGATCTTGCAGCATATCCTCATTCACCGCCGTTAAGCGAATTCATTCAGTCCGCCTTCTCAGTTCTAACTCACCGACTTGACACGGTGACCGATGCCCATGATGAGCTGGCCCTTCTTGCGCATCATGTTGACGAAGTCGTTGGGGTGCAGGTTGGAGTCGTGTCCCTCGCTGAACACCCGGGCGGCTCCGTCGAGCGCACCACCGAACCGGTCACCCTGAGACAGGATAGAGGTCAGGTCACACAAAGGTCACCAAGGCAGGTACAGTGGGCCAGAGACGGACATGAAGGTTAACGAAGAGCGGGTTGAATGACATAAGGCTCAACGTCAGAAATCACTTGTGTAAACTATTACGGATGTATGAACATAATAGGCAACTCTGTAGGATGGAAAGAATTACCTAGAAGTTGGCGAACTCTTTGCCACGACCAGCACACAACACATGTAAACAAAACTTACAGCTCGTTGACAAATCAGTCCAGCCCCACCTCCCCCTCACCCAATCCCAGCCGCGTTCACTCACGATGGTGAGCAGTCCGGAGACGAGTGACGACACCAGGTCCTTGCCGGCGCGCGCAGTGACGATGGTGTTGTGCGCACCGCTCACCGCCGGGCCGTGATCAGCAGTTACCATCAGACACATCTCAAAGTACTTGCAGGCGTAGGGCGGCAGGCGGCGCTGGAACCAGAGCAGACCCACCACGCCGCCCAGGCCCATGTCCTGACGGAGCACGTCCGTGATCGGGATGCCCGCGTAGATGAGCTCCTGACCACGCTCGTCACAGATGGACGACATAAACGAGGCCGGCTTGCGGATGAGGCCGAGCTCGCGCGCCCAGTTGTAGTCCATGGGCACGGTGGGAGGGGGTACCTCGGGCTCCGGCACGATCACACCCTTGGACACCAGGTCCTGGTACACGGCGCCTGTGGATAGCGGGTGGGAGAGGCGGGGGGGGGGGGGTAGAGGTGAATGCAGTCAGATGAAACCCGGTAGGTCGCACAGCATAAACAGTCCGCGGGGGCTTTGCAGCATTGCCACATATGAAACGCGGATCGCCAGAAACATCGTTACATTACAAAATGTGCATTTAGATATTTGCAGTCATCTGATCGTCATCGCTCTTTCTAAGACACCATACAAGATGATACCAAGACTGTCTCTCGTCAGTGAGCTCAGGTAACAACATTTTGCTGTTTAAAATCCCAGCAAAATCCTTCCACAAGTCTCTCCATGCCTCTTAGAATCACTCTCAGCGAACCATACCCCTGTCCGTCCCGTCCGCCGCGTCTCTCACCGATGGTCTCGCCGAGCTGGTCAAAGGTGGCCGGCACGCTGGCGCCCGTCTCGGCCAGCGCCCGGTTCTTGGCCACCGCCGTCTCCAGCTCGCCGTTAGCACAGGCGCCCGCGTGTCCGAACTGAACCTCAGAGGTGAACATGGCTGAAACGGAACGGAGTGAGGTGAGACACAGCGGAGTGGCGTGACACATGCATGATGCAGATAGTGTTCGAGTAAATCCTTGGATCGGTTATCATGTTGCTTTTGATGGGAGGACAGCATCCATAACCGTCTAAGAATGAACTTCTAGCATCGATGAAATAATGACCATTTTTGTTTACCTATCTGGGTAGAGGTGAACACGTCATACAATGCAGAAAACAAAAGGTATTCAGCCTGCTGCAATCTTAATTACAGGGACCCAAAAACACAAAATTCATCTCCATAAAGAGCGCACAAGGCTGGCAAAGGGGTGACGTGCGTGTGTGTGTGTGTGTGTGGAGGGGGGGGGGGACACTCACTGGCGCACGTTCCGATGCACCAGGCCACCAGCGGCTTGGTCAGGGTGCCCTCCTTGATGGCCTGGCAGACGTCGTATTCCTCAACGCCGCCCACCTCTCCCAGCAGGACAATCATCTTCACCTGCGGGACGGAGCGGCGAGATGGCGTCAGTGGCTGTGTCTGGCGGTCTCAGTGTTTGACAATGAGAGTGGTTGTGCCAGCGTCAGTGACTGTGGCTGCGTGGCTTTCTCAGAGTGAGCGACTGTGATGAGGACAGGACCCGCGAGCAGTCCTAACCACTGGCTGATCCAGCAACCATGTGACAGGTGCCACAGCTATGGTTGGGCTCTCTCGAGCGGAACAGTGACCTCAGCGTAAGTCAGCGAGTCATATCGACAACATTTCTCAGCACATTTCTGCTCAATAAATGAAAGGCCATCCTAGAGTGATAGGCAACAGAGCTCAACAGCTCACGCCTGGCTTAGGTCAGCAATCACTCACGTTGGGGTCCCGCTGGTAGCGCATGATGTGGTCCATGAAGGTGGTTCCCGGGTAGCGATCGCCACCAATGGCCACGCCCTCGTACACGCCGTTCGTCCAGCGGGAGATAATGTTGTTCAGCTCGTTGGACATGCCGCCGGAGCGCGACACGTACGCCACGCTGCGGAGGGTCGGGAACTAACGTCAGCAGGGCGGGGAGATGGAGTGGAGGAGGGCCGGATTGCCGGAGTGTTGCGCTCCCAGTCCCTCGGCCTGTCCTCAGCCGATCGAGTCGAAGCTGAAAATAATATTGAAACAGAGCTTCACAAAGTCCCATCCTAGTACGTACACTGAGAATTGGTTACTACGCACAACAAAACAAACAAAAATAATTCCTTCAATGATATTCAGCGTAGATGTTCTCAATGGATATTTCTTGCGTCCTACGTAATTGGGGCGTAACAGGACAACATAACTATATAAACAAATTATATTCATCGTCAATGAGCTGACATGCGGCTGCCGATAGGCCGTGACGGCTCACCTGCCGGGCCGGTACAGTTTGGAGAGCAGCAGGTTGTCCATCATGCCGCCCGTGTTGCCGATCTTGAAGCAGCCCGGCTTGATACCACCTGAGACGGACACAGTCGTTAGCGCTTAATATCTCCAGTCACACTCATATAGTCCCAGCAAAGGCGTTTACATATATAGTCCCAGCCTGCGTTCAGTAACAGCCGCGGATAATGTAACAGAGAGCAGCACCGCCGGCCGACACGACTGGACAGTGACGACGAAAATGACGGGGTGGTGAGTGCGAGACCGTTTGTGAAGAGGCGCCATGTGCCCACGGTGGTGAGGAATGCTGTGTGCTCGAGAGGTGGTGAGGGGCGTCATGTGCCCGAAATGCGGAGACAGTGCGCTGTGTCGTCGGACGTACGGTATGGAATGGTAGGGACTATTTTGCCCAGCTATGACGAGTCCTGACTCACCAACGGTGGCCGGTCCGATGATGGTGACGCCCTTCTGGTCGGCCGCCTTGATCAGTTTACGAGTCAGGTTCTCCGGGATGCCCTCGGCGATGATGGCGATCGTACGGATCTGGGAGACAGACACCATCACAAATGTAAGACTAACGGCTAATATCAGAGTCAAGCTCAACGGTATCTGCGGCTCCCTCCGTCGCAACAAGGTGCTTAGATCAATTAAGCGCGCTTTGAAACGTGAGACAAAATGTACAAAGAAGCCATAACTGATGAATAAAACACCCACCTGCGATTAAATCGATCTGACATCACCAGTCCTTTCCATATCATTGTCATACCCATTTGTTGTCCTCCCTCTCCTAATTAGCTGAGCTTCAAACTGGAAAAGTCTCGTCCCCCCCCCCTCCTCTAGAGCCGAAGATAGCGTCAGGCATCATCCCTCCCCCCCCCACCTCCCGAGGCCCATTCCGCTCCCTCTCCAGGGCACAGGACGAAGGACGTCCCGGCATCCCCCCTCTGCCCACAATTACCCTCCCTCTCCAAGAAGAAAGACTGCCTACTCACCTGCGGGTACTGCATCGTCTCGACCACCGACTCGTAGGCTGAGCGTAGAGACGCAAAGTTGACCATCACGTCCGCCTGAGGGTGCTTTCTCATCGCGTCCGCCATGCTCTTGTACACTGGCGACGGTACGGGACGGCAGCAAGTTAGATAGACAGTCGACATAGTGCCAGGTCAGAGACTCAGCGCTCAGCCAGAGCAGGATGGTCAGCTATCGAAACGATGCCAGACGACGGAGCTGTCGTTGAGAAGTTTCATCATAAACAATCAGGAAAATCAACAATGAATGAAAAGCTGAGATGATTAAAATACCGTGAACGAAGCGCACAAAGTCACCCGGTTTTATGTTTGAGTGTAATGACTAGAATGATGCTAAAGGCCGGACGGTTCGCTGGAAATAATTAGAATAACGTAGTCAAAATTACTTACTTATTATAGTAAGAATAAATCGTCAGTTTACATATCAGAGAGCGGTTTTAGCTGGATCACCGCGGCTGCCTACCATACCTGGCACCAGGATCTCCTTGTGTCCCCAGTAGAACTTCTGCTTGTGGTCGCCAGTGAATGGGTAGATCATACACTGCACCGACGGCGTCTTACGCGAGCACACAAAGTCAAAGTCCATCATGCCCTGTGAAGCCGAGGAAAGATTGACACGTCACTCTGAGGTCGGGGGTGGCGGGGCTAGAACAGACTTTAAGAGTGAAACTGTCATGAACGCCGCAGTATGACGTCGTCAGATAAAATGAAACAAAATGTGGCTTAAATTTTCATTATAAGGCCACTAAATGAGTCAATAAGTGGCCTTAATGAACATAAGCAGCTGACAAAGCGGTAAAAGCCAGTCAACTCAACCCGGGCTCGTTAGCATCCAAACACTCACAATTAGCACCTGTCTCAGGGCGGCCCACATTATGTCTGGACCACATAGTCCGCGTCACTGACCTGGACGGCGCGGGTCTGCATGCCCCACACGATGGCCTTTGTGTCGCGGTGGAACAGCAGGTCCCGTTTGCCGCCGTCCGCAGAGTCGGCCGGCGGCGGCACCACCTTACGGGGCGGCGGCGGGCTTTGCTGCGCGAGGGAGGTAAAATGTCAGCCGGGCAGCGACTTATGGGTCTCAAAGAAAACAATTATCGAAGGAATGCACCAAAATGTGAGCTCACAATTCAAAGAGTGAGTACAAACCGACGAATACATCATTGGTAGCTTCTTAGATCGAAGCAGCCAACGCGTTCTAAAGACAAAACTGCATGTCTTTTATCACACAATTAACGATTTATCTAACAGTTACGACATTATGTACTTCTACCTTTACCACACAACGTAAACTGCCAAAATGAAAGGCATTTCCACCCAACAGCGACTACGTACGATCTCTGACTGCTGCCCTCCCGGCAGCAGGAAGTTAGCCGTGTGCTGCGCCGCCTCTGGCTCACTCAGGATAGGCCGCTTGCCCAGCGCCATCGCCACGATAGCCGTCATGTGAGTCTCGTTTCCAAACACGTGTACAGGGACGCCCAGCGAGCGGCCAGTCTCACGCATGATCCTGAAAGAAGGGGAAGGGAGCTGGGGTCAGAGGGAGGCCGCGGACAGCACACATTAGGGACAGGGTAAGGTGCGCAAAGGCGCACAGGTACGATCGGATTTGACGGTTACGTATCACGAAATGATTGGAGAGAAACAGTATGATTGAATGTTTCATCTGTTTCCTGACTAGTCCCCGCATTCAACATTCTGAAGTCATAACCAGACGATATTAAGTGTCAGGCTAGACCTTGCAGCCGTTCCGTGCCTTGGAATAAGAGCTCTCTACAGTCACATTAGCGTCTAACTCATCTGTGAGTGACTGTGGATGTAAATACGACATTTTCCCGCAACCACAGCCCCTGAGTGCCTGGTGCGTTACCTGAGCCCCTCCTGGTAGTTGGGCCCGGCACGGCGGACGAAGATCTGGGCCTTGTGCTCGACCAGCTTGGCCTGGAACTCCATCAGGGCCTTGACGATGCCCTTGAAGGTGGCGGCCACGTTGGTGAAGTTGGCAATGCCGCCGCCGATGATCAGAATCTGCCGGAGCGGGCGGGACGTGGGGTCAGACGGGTACAGAAAGGAGTGGGCAGAAATTTACGTATCCGGGACCGACGGATATCTATCCGGCTATCTGGATAAAAATCCGGACAAACATCAGGATAAATATGTGTACCACACATATGTTAGTAATTGATGAAGTTCGGATTGACTCAAATATTCTATTATGAAAAATTTCCCCTACGTCCTATTAATCGGCCATGTAGCCCACCCCTGCACCAGCTGCAGCTTCCCCCAACTTCCAGATCCAGACTCCCATCCTCTCGATCGTGCCCGCACCTTTCCGTCCGGGTGCGGCTCGTCAGTCATCAGCGAGAGGATGGTGCGCGCATAGTCGTACGTCTGTCCCTCGGTCGGCGCACCGGAGTACTCGCCTGCGGAGGAGAGGGCGGGCAGAGCCGGTTATGGTCAGAGAGACGGGGGATTAACGCAGATCGTAGGGCAGATCGGCACGAGAGGCTGTGCTGTGATCGTGCAGGAATGCGGGCGAGATGCATCTCTAAAGGCAGCAGTGAGCCGAGTGAGCTTGAGATTCAGGTAACAAATCGTTGAACGAAATGCTTTATGCCCTACAAATGCGATATTCTAGCGTTACCTTTTCTAGCGTTGGTGCATCATTCACGTAAAAGTGAACATCAGTTTTAACACGACCGTCTCCAAAGATAAAAAATCATTAATTCCAAGCAAAGGTAAAAAACACATTTTGTGAGACGCACGAAAATATCGAGCGCTTGGAAACACCTATAATGGGCAAAAGGTAGTCATAGCTAGCACTACTGCAGTGCTAGCCCCAAGCTCCAGCAATGATCGTGCCTTGCTAATCAGTTTCTCGACCTCTCCCACCCCAGCACCCCTCCCGCTAACTGACCATAGTTGGCCAGCTCGCTGGCTCCTCCCAGTTCGCAGATGGTGTCAGCGTAGATGACAGAGGCGCCGCCACCAGCCACCATCGTCCAGATGCGGCCCGACTTGTTCAGAATGGTCAGCTGTGAGAGAGACCGGTCAGGGAATGTCAGATCTAGTCAGAGAAACACAACGACGATAATCACGTGCAAAGGCTCCTGGGGTCCAGAGGTCTACATGACACAGAGCTGTCGCGGAAAAGATTAACTGGGGTCAAGACTCAAAACAAGGGACAGAGCCAAACGTTCGTCGGTCTCAACAACCGCATTGCATATTCTGCGGTCGCTCGGGGGTATCGGCAGACAGCACAGCGCCCCAGTGACCCGCCCCGTCTCGCGTCGTTCCTGGGACCGTGCACCAGGCTCGGGGGCACCGACCCACCTTGAGTGATGAGCCCGACTTGCTGTCCAGGTCGGCGATGTAGGCCTCCGCCGGGTACTGCTCGCGACCGAACGGCGTCGGATACTCCACCTCACCTGACGGTTATAGGTCAGGTCAGAGTTAGGTCAGGGTCGGGTCGATCGTTATGTCTGAGAAGGATTACATGCGTCAGCTAGTCCATGGCTAGTCTAAGGCTTATGAGTTACCGCATTATTTTGTTTTGAGCACTTAAAAACGTTCAAAATCACTCGACATGTCAACTGACCCCATTTGGAGCGGCAGATGTACTCGGCAGTGGCGTCCAGCTTGGCGGCCAGGTCGAGCACGAATATGCTGTCCTTCTTTACCACCAGCGGATTGATCTCCAGGTAGGTGAAGTAGAGGTCCACGTACTGGTGGTACAGCGTATCCACGAACGTGGCCAGCATTCTGAGGGTGAGGGGAGGGGAAAGTCACGTAAATATATCATCGAGTGCGATAGTGATAGCATGTGAGACGACGAGACGACTAATGTGTCAGCATGAGATAGTTCCATCGTTACAGATGAGTCTTATCATTACTTTTTTTAAGAAGGCAGGTGTAAGAAACGGAAGAGCTTCGATGAATTTCGGAGCGGAGCTCCGTATCCGCATTACCTACAGAAAGGAGAAATTACCCGTTCCTATGATTCAAATAGCCGAGCCTCAACATCCATAACTCCCTCCCACCAAAATCTGTCATTCGTGCGGGATCATCGCTTGGAGAGCTCTGTGGGGCGCCCACCCAGCGCCGCGCCGTCCCTTATCCCCTCCGTAGTGCAGGTAACGTACTCTTTCTTGTCGGCGGGCACGTGCGTGAGCAGTTTGGCAGTGATATCCTCCTTCGAGGGGAACGTGTCAATCGGCACGTCCAGCTTGAGCGCCTTCGCGTCCACATCGCCAATCTCAACACCGCCCTGAGTAAGGAAAGGGGGGGGGGGGGTTTAGGCGGCTCGTCACGCGTCGGGGGAGGGGCGAGCGAAACACGGGCGGGACACTCACGAAGGGACGAGTGGGGATGGCCGAGAAATTAAAAGAAAAAAGTGGCGAAAATAATGAAATGCGTCGTAAACCACGGCATTTATAGCAAAGCAATGGCCATCATCGCCGCTTTACTCATTTCCACTTTTCTAACCCGACTGATGTCTGTCGTAGAGACCTGCCTTCACTTTCCCAACCCTCTGCTGCTGGCACCGTTCCCTCTCCCTCTCCCGATACTCATCACTTTCCCTCCCCTCTTCCACTCCCTCTCTCGCTCTCCCTTCACACACCTGATGGTAGAAGAGGATGGAATCGGCGTGCCGATGGGAGTAGATGCACACGTACATCTCTTCATCCTGAGTGTGCTCCACAAACGGCTCGATGATGAACGTCCGCAGTCGGCCCACCGCCTTGCCGATCTGAAGCACACGAGAGCAGGGGGTGAGTCAATGGAGGGAGGGAAGTCATAAGGAGAGTCAGACGGCCCCGGGCCCACAGCCTTCCCGATCTATAAAACAAGAAAAGATGGGGTAAGTCAACGGAGGGAGAAATTGACAGAAAGTCAGACGGCCCACCGCCTTACCGATCTTTAAAACACGAGAGCAGATGGTTAGCCAACAGAGTGAGGCGATTCACAGGGTGTCAGACGGCCTTCCCGAGCTGCACCGCACGAGGGAAGTCAGTAGATAGGAGGGATTTTAGAGGTCAGAGCCAGCCCGGATGCCTGCGGCAGAGAGGCTGGCCAATCGCCTTTCTGATCTCACTACACGAGGGGCTCAAATAAGAAATGAGATTGAGGGACTTACGCCAAAGGTCCGAGACCTGCAGCGGAGGTAGAAATGTCAAAGGGAGTCATACAGTTAGGTAGCTAGTCCGGGGACCTAATCTGTGGGGGAGGGCGAGGCTCCACTGCCAATGGGGTATGATCGGTGGGAGGGTAGTGAGGCGGGAGGGGAGCTGGTTTAGAAAGCGGTCGATGTGGCGTTGGTCGACAGCCCGGCCTGAGATCCGGTGGCTCGGGAGAGGTGATGAGTCTCTCCCTCCTCCCTCCTCTGCCCTCTCTGATAAAATCGCCGTATTACTGTTCAGTTGTGCGACATAAAGTCGGCTTAAAATCGCATCCAATAGTCAATACTCCTTCCAGAAGTCAGGAAGTGCCACCGAACGATGGGCAGCCTATTGAAATGCTAAGCACGCGTCCTGTGACAAATCGACACTGGGTCACTGGACTGAGTATGCTGACCGCTCCCGCGACCGTTCCGGCTACATAAGTGAATACTACGGGCAACGTTCTCCGATTCGCGATTAAGCTCCCACGATAGCAACGATGTCGAAATATTATCAAGTAAATACCTACATAAACATACCCCAGTGGTACTTGAGTATCGGTAAAATCACTCAGGCGGGTAAAACGATAAGGAGCAGCAAGTAAGCATACCAGCTAGATTTAGTTCCTCATCGTAATCCTTCACTAAATAACCCCATCAATGAAACCTTTCATGACCACTCCCGGGACCGGAATCAGCTCTCAGGAGCTCAATGCCTGTGAGGTCACCCCACCTCTCCTACAGCAGTGGTCGGTGCCGGACTATCACCCCACCGCGGTCCGACGGGGCGGGGATGGGTCCGTCAGATTGCACAGGCCCGCCGGCCGCCCTATCACCCATCAAAACACCGGCGGCGGCCGCTGAAGGGTCGATCTGAACGGATTAGGTGGTGCAAAACACACAGCTAGGACCAGGGGCACTAGCACAGTGGGCGGCTGGGGTCCTGTGAAGTCCCATAGTGTGGGAGTCTCAACAACAGGGTTTTTCGGTGGTTCATGGACACTAGAAGAATAGACGCCTACCTTTCCATTCTCGTCCAATACCAATCCATCATCAAATATCAGTTACCACACTGTGGCAAAGCCCTAAATACTGCAGTGTTGCAACCGCACAACAGAGGCCAGTTTTACCAACAGAAAAATAGCTGCCTGCCAGAATTTTTTTACCTAAAGACCGCTTTACATACGGAGCGTCAACACGTTTGGCACGTAAGCGAATAGGGCTTTACCGCTTACGCTCCGTATGTGAAGCAGTCCTAAGGCAAAAAATGCCGGCAGGCGGCTATTTTTCTGTTGGTAAAACTGGCCTCGACCCTGCACTCTATGGTACTCACTACTCTAAGTCGTCTACCGACTCCTTGACCCCAGAGATGACATCGCACAGAGCCATACATAGCCAACAAACAGGACAACAGCCGAGGTGTCGCCTCATTGAACGTGCTCATCCATCTTCTATAAGGCCGGGCAGCAAACAGGCCCTTTCAGTCGGAGTGTGCGATATTGTGTCGACGATGAAAACACGCCACATCGGCGGCGGTGACTGTCATTGATCCAGGATTAGCCGGCGCCCAGAATAGAGCTCAGAATGGACCCCTGATGAGTGGAGTAGGATGGTCCTCTATTGCCGCTCGCATTCATATAATCGATCGATCGGTGTGAATTGAAATAAACAATGAATGACTTGGGACGACTTGGCATCCATTCACAGCCCTTCGACACTGTTTGAAAAGACAAGAGTCGTGACATAATTGCTCCATATCGATCTCATTATATGACATTCAGTGAGATTACATTAGCATCGGCATTTGACCGGCAGACAAACGACCGGCTTCGACCATCCTCTGCTTGAGGACACCTGTCTAATATGTCACACTTGCGAGGCGGCCTGTCAAGTGCCTAGTAATCCGGCAGGCCATCAGATGATCATCCGATCGTGGCCCCAATCACAGGTCAGCTGCGCGCGCCGCCTGTCGGGTCATTATCGGGTCATTATCCCCATATGATTCCCATGTGACCGAGGTCACAGCAGAGTTACAGCTAGAGTAACGCCTCGGCGTCGCAGTGCGACACGGTGACGGTCGGCGGACAAGTGTGCCGCCGTGTAGCGGCGCTCTGTCCGGCACCGAGGCGGCGGGGGCGGCCACCGCCTGCCCGTCTGCCCGCCGGGCCGCATGACCGGCTTTCTAACATGTCTAGCTCCGGCCGGCGCCGCTACCCGGCTCGGACCGACCGGTGAGAAAGTCGGTCCAGCGCGGCCGAGCGGCCCGGCCGCGTTGGTCGATCGGGGTCTGCTAGTTCGATGGATGTAGCCAGGAGCGGGCCCGATCCGGCAACCCAATGGATCTAGTCAAACTCACGGACTAGCCCTAAATAACCTAACGACCTAATCCCACGAGAGTAACGCCCACTGTGAGTTCCAGTGAAGCGCAAAAATCCGGTCATTAGATAAATCAGATCATCGCGGAGGGGATGAGAGGAAAGCGGTGCGGGTTCGGACCGACCCGGTCTGCCCCGGCCATGGATCCGACCGAGCCCCGACCGTCCGGTGCTAGGCACGGGCGGCCAGTCGAGCGACCAGTGGAAAGTTGGCCAGACTCTCGCTAGCAAAAGAGTCGCAACGGGCAGCGAGGCAGCCTTCACGTCGAACCAATAAGCAGTTAAACGAGTGGAGAACAGACGACACTAACGCGACATTTGCGTGAGCTGCATCTGGGATCCATTTTCAGTTCGCTGACACCAATGGCAATCTCAGAGGGCATTCGCGACTAGTTTGTATGAATGACATCAACTGCAAGTAATCTCTCTCAAAGCAAACAGTAACGTTGGTTGTCTAACGGATCTCGGGACGCCACAGCAGCAACAGAAACGCCCACAGCTCCTAACAGATAAACACCGAACGGGTCGGGGGCTGCAGTGACTGTCACAGAGAGCCGAGTGGTTTGCGGCGGCAATGTCACGCCCAGGGAGAGGCATTGGCTACTACTGACACAGTAGTATGGATGGCCGGGAAGCGGTGTTGCGCCGATCATGGAACGAAATCATCATCGGCGATCAGCGGACGGCGAACGGAGTGTTTCAGTTAAATGCTTTTTGACCAACTTTTTCTGACGAAGTTTGTCGTCAGAAAGGTGATTGAGCTAAAATCAAGACAAGCGGATGTAAGTGCACACACATTCAGCGATCCCAGTTCCTGAATTTCTGACACCAGCCGGGACCTCCAGCGGCGGCCCGTCGGTGCAGCTATCTGTCCAAATCCAGCCGGTCCTACGAGCCCCAGAGACGCCTCGCCGGCGTGTCCAGACGGCGAGAAAGTGATTCCGGAAACCGGCCGGTCCGCGGCGGAGATGGCACTGGATGGACCGGCCCTGCCGGCCTCAGCCGTGGCCCGGGCCACGAGAGACGGGTGGATCATCGCTGGAGACGCAGCGACCGTCCGCCGGACCAGTACAGGTAGCTGGGGTCAGCTGGCACATCAGGTAGCTGGCGTCAGCTACCTGTCCGGATCATCGCCACTGTCCAGCAAACTGCTCGGTCTTTGGGTGCACGCTAACACAACCTCTCCAATACTAATAACTCACATCGACGGTAGCGAGACTGAACCAAACTAATCACCATGGACTGTCAACCAATAACAATATCGTTGATAATACGGAGAACGCAGCTCCACGGGTGGAATACTTTCCAATGCCTGAGATCATTCTCACCCTGCTTAGAACCGTCTCATTTTCGTTTCTCATGAAACTCAACTCACCTACCTACCAAGTCTCACTTTACTAATATCATAGCAGGCCCCGGTGCTCCAAAATACAAATAACGCCCCAGCAGAGTCGTTGACCTGTTCAATTCAAGTATAATGACCGAGTGCTTAGTTCAGTCCGGCCCGAATGACCGTGTGCCCAGATCAGCCCCACCAACAGATGACTGTTCATTTAAGTTCAATTCAGTCCCGCCTCGGCCCCAGTGACAGAGTGCCCAGTTCAGTACCACCCCAGCCCGATAACTGTCTCGCTCAGTCCAGCCCCAGTCCCATAGTTCATTCCCACACCAGCCCGACGACCGAGTGCCCAGTTCAGTCCCGCCCCGCTCCAGTGACTGCTCAGTTCAGTCCCACTCAGAGTGCGGACCCAGTGACCGAGTGCCCATTTCCCGTCTGCCTGCGGTCACGGCCAGCGCTCGGCTGCCGCCGGCGGCACTGTGAACATAGGTAACGGTTCGGCCGGCACTGAGCCGACCGGCCGGAGGCGCCGAGCACCGGGCCGGAGAGACGAGCAGCAGCGCACCGGGTCACAGAGACGAGCAGCGGGTTTGCAGCTAGTGAGACGAGCTAAATAACCAGCCGGTGAGCCAGGGCAGCAGCCCGAGAACCCAGCAACGCACCGCGCCACATAACAGAGCCGGGCAGCGGGTCTGCAGCTAGTGAGGCGAGCTCAAACAGCGGGCAGTGAGCCAGAGCAGCAGCTAAACGAGCAGCAGCCAGTGGGACGAACCGATGCAGAAGATCGAACGAGGCAGGTCGGACGGGCCGGGTACGGGCGGCACTCAGAGAGCCTATATACGGGCAGTGCACAGTGGCCGTTCAGGCTGAGGAGTAAGGATGACTGATGTCGGTATACTGACTCACATACCGGGCGTCACTGTTCGACAAGCCGAGTGATGGGCGACAGGATTTCACGCCCAGACAACTAAGAATGATAAAAGGGTTAAGTCGAGCGAACCGGAACGCAAAATATAGGATAAGATCATGCAAAGTAGGATCACGAAACATAAAATGAATCAAACAAAGCAAGATAAAACAGAACAGGACAGTACTGGGAAGTATTAGACGAGACACGCCGGCTAGACAGGATTTGCAGGAATGACAGGGTAATCTACTTGCATTACATAATGCTCATGATAAAAATCATTAAGTAATGCGACTTAACAGTCTCCGGATCACTTTAAAGCCACGCCCCATGACAGCAACTATGTCAATTCTCATCATGTTTAGTCAAGAGTACGTAAGCGCATCTCTGGAATATGTATCTCGTGACAGTCAGACGGCTCAGGTCTGAAGAAAAAACACACACTGGGTGTCGCCCGGGCTGGCCCCGCCGTGTCACTTAATCTGGTCGTCTCAACATAGGACGGCTGGTTATGAGGCGAACACCGCACCGAATGACGAGAAGATACCTTTGAATATCGGAGATTTGAAGTCGACAGTCCGTAGGTTCTACTTGACGAAGAACAATATCAACCATGTTCGCCGCATCATTGTTATGAACAAGACAAAAGCTGCACTTTCATTTGGATCATCAGCTTCAACAACAAGTACCCTCAATTGAAAACTGACAGTTCATGCAGTCGTCATTTCTGAATGACAATAGTCAGACTGTCGTTTTTTCGAAGTGACAGTCAATTTGACGTATTTCAAACAGGTAAGCAATCTATACAAAGATATGGAGGTAGTTCCTGCACTCTGCAAAATAGTATTACAGACGAGGCCGACGCTTACCGAATCGCCTGTAATTTACTACGCCGTAAATTATCGCCATTATGATCGGAAATCAAATTAGGTATTTTTGTTATCGTTTAAAATTGGCTGCAAGGCACCAGAAGCCTCGCCCTGCGTCATCGCTCCCCTCCAGTCCCTGGAGCCGGCCCGCTCGACACACTGGATCGATAGTTTCATGAGCCTAGCTCTGCTCCGGTCCCGCCCAGTTCGGCACGGCAGGGGGCGAGAGACGCCGGCCGATCCGCTCAGCGCCGCAACTATTGCATCAGAAATTCTCCTGCAATTCTCCTCCCTGCCACCGCCCCTTTGTCGCTTCCACCCTACCGACTTCGCGAGATTTAGTAGGTATTGCAAGGTAGAATTCAGTCATGGTCTTTCTTATTGGACAGCAACGAAGTCGTTGGTGACGGGAGATATTCGTGAAAGTGGCCGGGTGGATCAGGGGCCGGGTTGGGATGCCTGAGATGACGTCACAGGCCGTCGGTTACGTCAGCCGCTCGGCATGGTCCGATCGACCGACGGAGGACCCGTGGTACGCCGCTGTGAAACATCAGGGGAGTCCCGGCTATCTGAAATATCTCAGGAGTCGCCATGAGCTTTGGGCTACTGTGATGCTGCAACCTCTAGCTAGGGCACTGAAGTCACGGGCCGCAGTATTCATCAAAGCATACCAGTCGAGTGGGTAGATATTGTAGGGGAGTCGTGTAACCTCCTGCAGGCGTATTTCAGGCTGGTCCTGTCCGGCCTCCCCTGCGCCCGTCCAGTGCCGCCGGCGGCGCCAGGGGAGGCCTGGAGTCGGCCGGTGCCGCTCGGACCACCGTCAGCCCACGGCGGCGCGGCTGCTGAGTGGCTGACGGCGGCCGGACGATGGTCGGCGCAGGGGAGGGGAGGGGGGAGGGGAGGGGCCCGCCGACCGCACACCACCGGCGGCCGGTCGAACGGGGTGAGAGGGAGAGACAGCCGGCCATCGGTCAATGCTCATTACCGGTCACTGGTCAGCCGTCAGAGGTCAGTGACCAGCCGTCAGCCGTGCGGCAGGTGGTCTCAATACCTCAGGGTGGGCTAGATGCTCCTCAGGCGAAGCTCGGCTGTAATCGTTACTCGGTACTCCGAATCTTGTACACACGAGTACGAGTAACCGGCACGCGATGGACCATGACACCCAGTAGACTAACCGGACCGTCGGTTTCACGACTGATCTGACAATGACAATACAGAGCAACAGGACGAGCGCCGAGCTCACATTATCACATCCCCAGTGTCGATTTTGATGTTAATGCCAACATAGCATTCTTGACTGAGTGCCTCCTGAGTCCAAGCCACCAATCGAAACCCAACAATCCTGGACCGAGAAGCCACGACCATCAATAGACACCAAACTGTGCTCTCAGCGTGCAGTGCACGGTGCGAGGGCATGTTGGCATGGCAAGCTTTGGGTCAATATCGGCCGGTAGGCGGTATCTGCACTGGTGGGTGACTGGGTTCGGTGCATCCGGAATGATGACAGTGACACGGGTTGTTACCGTGCTGCAGGCCACGCTAACGCCAGGGGAAGGGGAAGGGGTGAGATCAGCCACCGTTTGCAAACAACTGCTGTTGCTGACAGCTATCGCCAAACGCCAAAACCACCAACGGCCGGCCACGAAACGAGCACGACGCAAGCGCATGGACACATCACGTGACGGCGGCCGGACCGATTAGGAACAACCCTTCCGACGGCAGCAGGCGGTCACGTGACACGCCCACGCCTCTCGCCGCGCCCGGCGACAGCGAGCACGTGACACTAGCGGACGGGAGCCACAACCCGGTTGGCATCACGGGACTATCACGACCCAGACACAGCACAGTCACGACCGAGTCACGGAGTGGTCACGAAGTATCACGACGGACGAGTAGCTGGAAGACATGAGTTCCGACGTGTATCTCTAGACGCTACGTCACTCTGACGGCCACTAACGGTCAAACTGGCAGGCAATGAAGGTCATCTACGCTGGTGGTCAGACGTAACAAGTCGCAGGACTGTGATGTAACAGCAGTAACACAGCGACAGCGGAAAGCTTTGGCCGCAGACAGCAGCCAAGTCAGCGCAGACGGGATCGGGGTGTTTTTGGCCACCGCCCACCCCACGGTCGCCAAGGACAGCGCGTGATGCAAAAACCCGCGGGCGCCGGGAGAAGAGCCGCATAAAAACTCCGCCAGGCGCAGTCACCGGGTCAGGTCGCCCATGGTCGGCTCCGAGAGAGAAGGAAAAAAAAAACACACGAGTCAGCTCAGACGTCTGTCACTAGGCGGTGAGTTCCATGGATCTCTTTTTACCCCGTCTGTTGTGGCTAGCAGCCGACTCCGTGATGCCCCATCAGCAGAAGAGCCGCTGAAATCAGCTGGTCCGGCCGTGAGCGAGACATCGAGCGCCACTGACGTCACAGCTGCCCGAGAGCGTGCGATACGGGCCGCGTAACGTCGCCTCCCCAAACCACTATCTGGCGGTCGTAAAAGGTTTCTGATCCGCTCAATCGCCAAGTCAACAACGCGAGGTGGCACCGGCATCAGAACATGGCGCAATAGTGCACATCACGGCGCTACTGGCCGGATCATCGATCAGTTCCCGGTGGTCCGATCGCACTCGAAAGTGCAGCCTGAGGTGGCCCGGAGCCGGAGGATCAATTAGGCCGATAGCGGCCCGGAAGGCAAACGATAGCGGTCCCCCGCCCAGTCGCACTGATAGCACACTGACGTACGCCGCGCGGAATACACGAGGACGACGGAATGTCGAGGCCCCGGGACATTGGTCACACAGATATAGACACTTCTAACTCCAACTTGAGTGTTTGCAGTTGAGGCAATCTAAAAAGCAAACCCTTCATCCGAATGGATATGTAATTGAGAATTAAGTCATCAGTCGAATGTCAGTATAAAATGAAATGATGAAATAAAATGAAGAAATTGTGCCACGAAACAGGAACAGTGCCAGCCTGCCCCGAACAGTCAGGCTGGCGAAGGGCCAGGGCGTGTGTGACAGCTCGCGACTAGGCGGCAAGACCACAAGATACAGCTCCACCAAGGGAGGAGAGGTCACCGCACCTCCTGCCCACGTGATGTTACGTTCATGTGACGCAACGGACCACTGTGCGCTGCTGCTAACCGTGGACAGGGTCACAGTACTGAGTACGGCCGGTGTGATCACGGAGATGGCGAGGCGAGAAAAAGACCGATAGTTTAAAATAAATCCACAAGCATCGAGAGCTGATTTCGCCCTGTGTTCGATAGAAATTCAAGCAACGCTTGCCTGAATGGGAAGTCAGATACTACAAGAAATTATGTGCGAAACGTCCCGTTTGTCACATTCATCCTGCCGGGTACCGATCGGTGACGACAGGAAGCCAGATGCAGATTATCGTCAAAAAAAGCAAAAAAAAAAAACATCACGGTAAAGGATGAGCTTTAGGGAAACACCAAACATGGCTCTAAGGAGAAAACACGGCGGACTACCCTGATTCGCTGTCAATGCGACACATCTTGACCTGCTGCCAGCTGGACCGGCGGCGGGGGCGGGGGCGGGGGCGGCCGATCGACGCACGCCGCACTCTGCCGCGATCAATACGACCGCCGTCGCCGGGACTGGCACCGCCCCCGCCCCCGCCGACCGACGATGGAACCGGCCGCCCACGCCCGAGCCCGACCCAGCCCAGCGGCCCGCTGGAAAAAACACGACGAGAACGTACATCGGCCAGGATTTAAAACATTTCATTAGGAAAGACTTCTTTTTAAATGCGTCCGTGTCAATTACTTTCTCGTTCGTCAATCCGTGAACTGAATCACTCTTATGTTTCACTAAGTTTTACACGTAACAGCGAACCTCGGTCGGCAATGCTTCTTCATACAAAATTCCGCTAGTGAAATGCTTCAGTTACAAAAAGTAAAATGTATGTGCAGTTAAATGTGAAAAGTGAAATTCGGTGGTAGGTATTGGCTAGCCAATACGGTGGGAGGTGTAAGCATGGTAAAGGGCGGTATGCAGAGGGGGGGGGGGGGGGAGAACATAACCCGGGGCCGCCGGGACCTACCTCTATGTCGGCAGACATCTTCTCCTGAATCCAGGCCTTGGCACCGGCAAAGTCGGTGCCGACCTTGATCAGGCCGAGCTTGCCTCGACGCTTGATCATCTGGTCCGGCTTGGCCACCAGTTTCTGAAGACACAAACACACATTGTTGACAGCTTGGCAATTGAAAACAGACAACAATGAAATAAAGAACAGGAACAGTCGTTTTTTGTGTTTCTGTTATTTGTGAGGCCAGAAAGCAGCAAATGAACAACTTTCCTGTAGAGAAATTCAGTACCAATGTGTTGTAATTAATACACAATAGCACTTTTATTATATTATACAAAACAATAGGTACAAGGGTGAAGAAGTTGAGATGAAATGTAGTGTTTTTCTACTTGCAAATCAAACAATTGATTTTCATATTGAAAAGCCAAAGCAAGAAGTTGGAAATAAAAAGCCATCCCAATCCCAAACATACCTCTGTAGCAAGCCATGGGTTTTGTTTCAGCAGAACTTCCCAGTCAGTATCTGGTCCAACAGCAGCAAACCTGCATGGCTGAACTGCGGCAACACCAGCAAGATGACGGTTTAAAATGTCCTTTCCAGTAGCTTCACGGATTCCTTTGGCAGACATACTTAATCTGGAAACATAATTTGTCACATAAGATTTCACATGTCATGTACCATTGCAACACCATGATATTTAAAAACAGCATTATTTTTTAACTTAACTTTAACTTTTACTTGTTGCTTATGCCTGCTAGGTAGTGAGAAAAAATGATTTAGATGTTAACACCGTACGGTGGCTTCAATTCATATAAATCATCTGCTTTCTAACATTTGGATATTGGCTCAGAATACTGAGCGACCATACTAACAAAGCTAAGCTTGTTGTCCCAAGCACGGCCCTGGCGAAAAAAAAAACGATTAATTATCGCCGCTCAACCCAAGATTCTTGGCTCAATCAACCATGACCAGCGCAAGCGATGCGATGGGCGAGGCGATACGCCGCTTCAGGTAAGATATAAAGCACCCACAGTTAGAGCCGAAACGAGGGAAACATCTCACCTTCAAATGGAAACGAGAAGAATCAGTACAATGAATTGCCGGCACCAAAATCTGGCACCGCCTCTCACGCGACCCACCCGGCAACTCCTCGACGACTGACGGCGCTCGCAGGCCGCCCAGTTGTAAACTTTGATTACAACGCGCAAGGATATGTCTCACACCCGCCATGATCGCTTTCTTTATAAGTGTTAATTTACTGCAAACATGTATATTTGCACAAATAACAAATAATGTTGTTATTCGTCGAAAATTTATGTTAGGTACTCACATGATGATGGGCAATTTTTATGTGTTTTCAATTATGTTTCAGGAATCATTCAGCGTGAGCTGATTTTATAATTAATAATAAAATTCAGATGGTCCTCGAATTAAATCAAAAGCTTTCAAGTGACAGTCACAAACATGCTTTACCACTGGGAAACGCGTTTTTTTTATCATATCATATCATCTGAGTCCAGAAGTGGTTCAGAATAATTAATAAAGCGGTTGAAAATTAGCGCTTGGCTTCATAGAGAGCAATTCTATAGTTATGAATACCCAGTAAACATGACGACGTCGGCCCAACGTCGGTTCAACCTCGGCCCGACATCGGTTGGACGTCGGATATGCCCGCATGTTCCGACGTCCAGCCGAAGTCCAGCCGACGTCGAGCCGACGTCGGGCCGAGATCGTTTGCCGAGGTTGACGAGATCGTTCGTCGTTGGACCGACGGGGCCGACGTCGGCATGTTTATTGGGACAACGCGGCAAAAATATCAACCGGCGGCGGGATTCGATCCCCCCAGTCGCCGACGTCGGTATGTTTACTGGGACAACACGCCAAAAGCATCAGCCGGCGATGGGATTCGAACCCGTGTCATTCGAACGTGAGGTTAATGCGCTAACCACTACACCACGCAGCCAACTAACGAATTTGGTTTGTTTTGTTGGGTTATGCCCTTTCGGTCTGACAAGACCATTTCAGAGCCGGAAGGAGCATAGGATGGAGACATTGGTCTTCTTGGCGAACACCCTGGGTCCAGTTCATGTAGAGTCCCTGGTCCCATTGCTGTTACGTGGCACTTATTGGAAAGGGCTACCCCACAATGGATTCATATAGCCACTCTTACACACCTGCACCAACGTTTCCCAAAGTGTCCCTTTGATAAGTGGCACTTTGGCAAAGTGACACTTGCCGACTGGCCTTTCTATATGAACTGGGCCCGGCCCTGATGAGTTGCCGGGGCTGAGCCTGACCAAAGGATAGGCCGAGCAGTCCCCAAGCACTCACCGCACCCGGCTACGGGCGAGCTCGGCTTACGGGCAATCCCAAATGGATAAAGTTTCCCGTCCAGTCCGGATCAGGGGGTTGCGGCGTGGAGGAAGATTTGAGTTTCCTGAGGATATTTTGGATACAGAGGCTCTTTATGAAACATGAAACATGTATTTTATATTATTTAAACGGTCAAAACAGCGGCCGATGTCGGTACGACGTCGCCCCAACGTCGGCCCGACGTCGGCTGGACCTCAGCAATTGATCTCGGTCCGACGTCGGCCCGACGTCGGCTGGACCTCGGCTGGACGTCGGAACATGCGGGCATATCCGACATCCAGCCGACGTCGTGCCGAGGTTGGACCGACGTCGGGCCGACGTCGGCATGCCGATGCCGAGTTGCCGACGTCACCCCGACGTCGGCCGAGGCATGTTTACTGGGTATATACCGAGAATTTCATGGATACAATGATGAATTAGAAGGCATCTTCAGCTCAACGTGTGTTACATAATTTGTATGCATTACGCAATAAGCAATAACATTCATTCGGAACAAAATGAACAAAGATTATCTTCATATGCTTGGAAAATTTACTTTTGTATTTTTCTAGTACAAATTTGTTAGCAACGGCATCAAAACCATTTTCTTTCGAAAAATTGAAACGAATCTTACATGAAAAATATTGCAACGCTGGCCAGCGGCGCATAGCATCTTTTCTGCAGCACATTGCAATAAATATCTTGCATTGGGATGTTCATTCTTATTTGTCAGCTTTACAGCTTACTCAGCTGACTCGCTTCCGAAACCTTACGAAAATGTGACGAAAATGTCGTGTTGTTGAGCTTTAGTCGTCGCAATTATACTTTTAAAACTTTTTTTTAGTTAAATTTGTACTGCAATTTCGTAAACTCAGTGTGAGGTAAAAAGACTGAGCATATTTTCAATTTTGATAAAATGACTGTAAGAATTATCCCCGAATAAATGCCGAAAATTGAAGCGATCAGCTGACAAATCTCGTTGGGCGGGTCAAATGCTTTTCCATTGGACGACTATGCAACTTGCACGTGTAATGTGTTGCACAAAATTGACTCACTGCGGCATTTACCATCAACACGTAGTAAGGAAACAGCGGAAATAGCCATTTTGATTTCAATTTTCAGGCACGTCTTTTGTTCGAGAATTGGCTCCGGTGATGGCATATGACATTTTAATCCACTATAAGTTGTATATATCTTTGAGGTTCAGGCAGAGTCTTCCTGGTTTGATGCTGTTATTGTTCTTAGCAAGGCACTCACTTCAACTTCATTCAGTGTTATTTAAGGGCCCTTGTCTTTATGGGAATCCAAATGATCATTTCGACCTAACATGCTTGTTCATTGAGTAATAGCTCCACTGTCTTGCGGTTGACTTTTTCATTGCTTTTTAGATCATTGAATTTGTTTGAAGCAACTAATCATGGCTGATGAAGAACCGAAGGCTGCTGGTCACAGCCCAGCTGGTAAGCTAAATTGTCATTTTACTAACCAACCATAAGGTGTTCTTCAGTTAGATTGAAGGCATGTTTGTATAAAATCATTGAACTTTCATAAGGTGTCTGAAGAAATTTTGTTGAGATCTAAATTCCAAATGGATGATTCCAAAGAAAAAATCACATCTGGATGATTTTTTTTTGAACTTTTGACAAATAAGTGCAGCAGCATGTATGATCCAATGGGATCTGGATAAAGATTTTTATTCAGTCATCGGATTGAAGCATATGCATGAGAACTACACCTCTGGCATTTGCTTTGCAGTTTGCATCAAAGATGTTTTGAAGCAAGTGTATCAGTTACTATGAATGATGAAGGTTGTGTTGTCAAGTTCATTGGTATGGGATGCATTATTGCTGTTTGTTTTTGGTATTCTCATGTTGGTACTGAACAAAATAAAATGTCATCACTGCTTTATCTACTTAAGATTTTTTTCATGTCATCTCTGTGAAACTGGAGATAAAATCTTAACCCATATTGGACCTGTGACTGTTGTTTTACAGTGAAAGTTGGAGGTGCCCGCGTGGTACAGAAGAAGCCTCACAGGGACAGTGAGGGTGAGAGCAAGGAGCCTGCTGCTGTGGACTCGACACAGGCAGTGGGGATGTTTTCACAGAGGTAAAGTTGTATGGTAGTCCTACAGTGTGTGTTTTGTGTGCTCATATATAGTTTAATCTGAAACTTCCTACACCATTGGCTTCCACTCCTGACCACTGAGATACTGACTCCCTGGTCCTGCTCTGGTAGCCCGCCGAAGCTGACGGTGACCTCCGGGCAGCCGGTGCCGGACGGCAACAGCCGGGAGTTCCCCACTGAAGCCGTCAAACACATCCACGAGAAGCCCAAGCCGACGCACATCCAGCCGCGGCCGTCACAGCAGGGCCACTTTATCCACCAGCCCACCAAGCAGTGAGCGGCCGATCTTGCCCTTTGAGCTCCGGCCGGCCGGTCACCGGCCGCCGGGCGCGACACGACCCTTCGCCGAAACGCGGCCCGAAGCATGGCTTTGCTCTCTTGGTTTCAGAGGTGTTCTCAACGTGTGGGCTGCCTGTGAGCTTTATTCTCCGAATGTGAGGACCGGTGAATATGGAATGGTATAATAAGTAGTGGTTAGTGGGTATAAAGAGTGCGGCGATTATTCTTTGGATATTTTTTTATTGTGGTGTTGGCTCTACTTCCAACTTGTGTCTTTGGGTATTGTCTTTTGTGTTTGGGATTGCAGAACTGCTAAACTTTGAAGCTCACAAGGGCAGACTCGGATTTCACTTGAAAGCTCCTGAACACCATTTCGAAGTTGTTCATCTATCGCTTTACCCACAGGGTTTGTCATTGGATATCCACTGCCTCTCATAATAGTTTATAAAATAGCAATAGTTGAGTTGGACGGTTCATGATATGTTGCGGTGTATTCATTCCGGAGAACTAAGATCTGTCCATGTCTACACGGGTCAGAGTCTGAGAACAGCCATACGGCGCTCCGAGCGTCCCCCATCTCCTGGTGCCGCCCTCTCCCCGCTGCCGGCCACGTTGACTGTTTGTCTCCGGCCGAAGGGAGCGCCATGGGCGGGGGCCCAATTCTTCGGGTCGTCAGACGGCCTTTGGGAACCAATTGTCTCTGCGCATGGCGAGGGGTCGCGGGCCCGCGGGGCGGGGCCTGGTCCCGCCCCTGCGAGGCGGTTTGTGTCAATAAAGACGGTAAAATTCCTACGGTGTTTGTGAGTGTGGTCTGGCGGCTGGCGCAGACTGCTGTGACGGTTGCTGCGGCGCGGTGGGGTCGTGGTCCGGCCGTGTGACGCTCGCTCGGAGTGCCCGGCCGCGGACGGCCCACCCGCGCCTCCGGTATCGATCGCCGGGCCGACGGCAGAGGCGGCGGCGGCGACCACGCGGCCCACCGACCTTGGCACGCCGGGCAGGCAACGACCCCCACGCGCACCCGACGCTGGGGAGGGGAAACGATTGCAACACTACGGCAACTCCCGGCGCCGGCCAGCCTCGGTAGTTCGGTACGAGGGCGAGTCGCTGAGGATGATTCTAGTCCCGGCGCTCTCGGCGTACCGGACTGCCCGTGACAGATGCCGGGGCTGGCTAGACCGGTTTTTGTGTAGCGTGGATCTCGTGGTCGGTAAACAAAGCGGAACTGCAGCTGGTTACCGTGGGGAGCAGGGCCGGCAGTGTGGCCTTGGCAGTTGAACAAGCAACCGATTATTTCGAGAATGTTGGGGAATAGATAGTGAATAACCTATGACGGAAATAACAGCGAAATTATGTCCGTCACAACGAGGGCGTCTATTTCAGTTGGGGGCGGTGTTCGGAGGTTGCATATTTGTTTTGTAAGCTGTATTTTAGGACGCTTGTGTGGAGCGTTGCTATCCACAGGCCACAGGGACGTTACGGTTAGAGCGTGACTCTAGTCGTAGCCAAGTCGTAGCTAGCTATAATTTATGCGTTTATCGTTTGCTGAGGAAGGTGTTTGGGTGTAGGTTAGGGCTAGGGTGCAAGCGAAAGGTCTCCTGCAGTAACATCTCAGCCTGTGCTTGATTACAGTAGGGGAGAGTGGGGCACATTCGTGCAAAAAATGGATGAACCCATATATCTGTTCTTTGGTTAGTGCAATGGCAAAATTGTTGATTGTAGTATGGAAACGAACTATTGCAGATAGTTTTCCTCTTTAAAAGTTATCCTATAAAATTATTGCTTCCATTAGAAAAAAATGACTTTTATTAACTCTGAACATTTGCACGAAACTGCCCCACCTATGGGGCACATTCGTTCAAGAGATGGGGCACTTCCGTTCACCCGGCAAAATTCGAGAAATTACCGGGCATTACCAGAAATTTACCAAAGGAAATTGGCAGGGGGTCATTTCACTTGATTCCTTTCGACAAGAATGCATTGCACAACAAATGTAGAAAGAATGGGCTGGCCAACAAGAATGTGCCAACTGCCGGCCTCCGTGACCTCGCCAAGTTCGCGTGAATTGCTCGTCACGACGTCGCAAGCAGTCGAGACTGAGTCAGGCGAGCGTCATTAGAGAAACCTACTACAGATAAAGTCAATAAATCGCAAAAACTAGCAAAAATATGCACGAATGTGCCCCCAGGCAGTGCGTACACGAACCTGCCCCACAACGTTATTAGTAATATATTTCAAAATTTCTTTTTGAAAAAATGACACTTTTTCAACAAACAAGTTTGCAGCAGTTCCGTGAATAGAGTGGGCTTCTTCACCCCCAATTTTGAAAAGCTGAACCACATTTCCGAGTCAGGATCACGAAAATGGATGATATGAGAAAAGTTTGGAAAGCTCACGAATATTACAAATTTGCGTTTTTATCAAGCATGACAGCAGGTACAGTGTTGTCTTCTACGGTGAACGAAGGACGGCAATGATAGACATATTTCCATAATTTACCTTGAGCTCGTGCAGTCACTCGTGTTCCCATAAACTGCTGAAAACGAATGTGCCCCATGCACGAATGTGCCCCACTCTCCCCTACGTCCGAATGCAGAATCCAAGGCCATCTATAGGCAGAATCGCTAGGTGCTTTTGTTGTATTTATTATAATAATATTGTCGGCAGCTCCAAGGCCCTAAATGGCAGCTCATTGTTTCAAAAGTAAAGTTGCCGCTCTAAAGCAACCAACCAAAGGGGCTCTTATTTCGAAGACAAATACATAAACCTCAATTCTGGCGCGCGTGCTACAGAAATTGGCGAAAATGTTTGGCGAACTTTGTGTGGATTTGGGAGCGAATTGTAGAAATAATTGGAAATATTTTTAGTTGTTACTCTCATTTCAAGAGGAGCTATCCAGCTTTTTTGTCCTGAGGTTGAAATCTGTACGTATTTCAAACAATTATCTGGGATTACATTTCTCATGGTGAGCGAGCTGTAAGCTTTCTGTCAAAGGAAATATAGATATCGACCTGCTTTTACCATTTTCATTTTCGTTTACCGATGTCTGTGTTGAACATTAGAAGATTCAAGATAACATTTTACAATAAATCATGACCCTCTTGATATTTGTGAAACAGGTGCCTTTATTTCCTGGTTGCTTTGAGGCAGGGGCAAGGACTTTTACTTGATAACAACAAAAGTGAAGCATTGCGGATCTCCACTTGCGCAGCTTTTGCCTGCCGCAGGCCCCACTCTTGCATGTCACACTTGTGTACTGTCACTGTAGTTCATATTCTGCATTGGCTCTACTCAACCTTGTCCTGTGCCTGCCACTGTCACTTTGCTGGCCTCTAACCACTGACACCTCTACAGCCAGTCAGTGGGTCAGCACACATGATATACTTATACTGTGCAGGCACAAGCTGGCACATCTCACCCTTCATAAAAGATAGCGAGCTATGAAACAGTATAAAATAGACAGGTGTGAAAATACAGCATTGTATTTACAAGTTCAAGTTCCTAAATTTTCAATGTAGACGACGGTTCAGCTTGGTGTAGCAACTCGGTCTCGACCCACCAATTAGTCCACCCAGCCCATTGGTACCTACCTATATATTTCAGCATTGTTTTTTGTAGACAAGGTGGCTGGGCATAAGGAGGTGGAATAAACCTGCCCATTTGCAGCCCTGCAGCACCCTTGCTGTTCTGCGACCCCAGTTGTCTGCTTTGTAACTTCCTGAAGTGACTCACTTGGCTTCCACCGACCCACTCCTTTGGCATGGGAAAATATGGGAAACGTGACCCAGTCCATTACTCTTGTCTGCCCATTTCTTCCGACTGCAGGCAACTGGCTGTGTGACCATCTACGGGACAGGAAAAATGTGCTAGTGATGCTGGTGCACTCGCCAGATGGTATCGATTCCAGACCCTGGACAGTGGCGACTGCAATTCACCTAGCTTCGCCCTCCCAGTTTCACATCAACTATGCATCCGAGAACACCACCTCCCCGCTTGTAATCAGGGATGCCCCCAACATGTGCCGCGGGTCAGCCCTAGCCAGCTCAGCTACAGGCTTCTGACCGTGACAGTTAACCCTCTATCTGCCTTTCGGCTTCAATGTCAGTTTTGTTAGCTACCCGCCAAATATCCCGTAGAAAGTTTGGAGACTCGGAGAGCTCGGTAGACGAGTGTGCAGCGTGCGCCCCATCAGGAGCTGTGTCGGTGCCAGACCGTTGACTCGACTGCAGGGCAGTCCTGTAAGCCATCAGTGCCAGAATATGCCGGTCATGTAGCTCCTGGCACCGTTTCATCTGCTGCCGCTGCTTGCTCAGCTGCTCCATAGCCTCCATCCCCCTGAGGGCAGTAATTAGGATCAGATCAGTAACTTGGTAACATAACCCGTAAGCAGTGGATAATTCTCGGAAGTCTTTTGTGACAAACCGTCTTCCTCCCTGTGAAGTGTCTAGAGGAGAGTGGGGAAAGATGCCCAGGGTTTTACTTTGTCATATATTATTCGAAAATGACGATCGGAAAGCCAAAACTTGGAGTTTCAACGGAAGCCGACATCATTTTTCTCCAAAAATATCACACTTTTGTGCCTGAAATATGATAACTTTTTTTGCTATTAAGCATTTTCCTGAAGAAGTGAAAGGGGGCATCTTACCCCACAGGGTGGGAAAGACGCCCCCTGGCGTTGGGTAAGATGCCCCCTGCACTATAAGTGACATTAATAGGCACGTGAATCGCCTGAACGAATCAGTAGTCCCTTCGAGCCTGCAGTAGACACCAAACGTCAACGTAAGGGCCCTCAAAAGTAGTCGTAAGGGGTTTCAGAGGTCATCGTTAGGGCCATCATAGTCCAGCGTGGCCAAACAAGCCTCCGTGGTGGCGTTCGAAGACCACTGTGGGGCCCTTATAGGTCTTCATGATGCTTGAGGGCCCTCGAGCCCATCGTGGGGACCTCAGATGCCAGCGCGGCCCGTGGAGGCAACGTGGGAGCCCTCAAAGGATGTCGTGAGGGGCCCTGGAGGCAATAATGGGGCCTACAGAGGCCGTCGTGAGGGCTCTCAGAGTCAGATGCCGCCCAAAAAGTCGCCAAGTGGGCCGAGAGACCGGCATGGGGAGCACCGGACCGTACCGGACTCTCAATAGTCCCAGATCGGCTTTTGTCTCTCATCACAAGTATGTAATAAATTATTTGACGGGCTGCTTGAAGGACAGCCTACGGATTTAGGGGGGCGTCTTTCCCCATCAGGACAGGGGGCATCTTACCCCAAGGTACCGAAGTAACATTAAATCAGCACAATTTGTTAGCCATAAAACTACACCCTGAAACAAACTGTTTGGGACACAGTACACGCATGTTAATGTATCACGACTATAGCAAGGGACGCAAAAAATATCTACCTTCTTTGATATTTACAATGTTTTGACACCAAAATATTTTTTGAAAGCAGCAAATAAAAAACATGCGATTACCAACCAGCCGTTGCCCAACTGAGTTTCGCAAATTTTTGTGCAGTTAACAAGGCAGGCTTCCGCTTTACGCTAAGAACATTAATTTCTAGGTTCGATTCTTTGTTTCCCCGCTAGAGGGGGTGGGGCGTCTTTCCCACCCTGGGCATCTTACCCCACTCTCCCCTATTATCAGCGATGCCATTTTTGACAAACAGAAATATCATTTTTTATACCGATACCGCAGCTGATGATGTTTCCGTGGTACCGGAACATTGTTCTTGTAAGCATGACGTGCTGACACCTGATCGATGCTGTGTGCAGTTTTGAATTAACCAACGGGTGATCGGCTTATGGCCAACCAGTGCTGTAAGTTCAGGTGGCCGAATAGATCAGCCACTAGCCAGCTATACATCACATTTTTCACCCCCACGTTAGACCCAACATTTTTTTTTTTCAATCATAGCGTAAATTTTTTATAACACACAACCATAGGGACAGGATGCATCGGAAAGAAGGCTGGAGCTATGTATGTCTAGAGCGTGAGGCCAAGCCGCCTTTGTTTCTTTCTACATTTTTTCTTGCTTTTAATATATATTTTCTTTATCATATGTGCCGTTTCTTCAAGCTTTGAGAACCAACTAATGTGACAATGTCTGCCTTTTTCAGCCACGATGCCGACAGCGCTGACGGAGTGTCTTTCCATCGAGATGGCGGCGTCGGAGCCCTGGGCCCCGGACGCCGTCCTCTATACACCCTACATCACAGAACAGGTAGGTGTGTGGGGCTTAGGGAATCAGTTACCACCCTACATCACAGAACAGGTAGGTGTGTGGGGCGCAATGAATCAGTTACCACACCATCATCACAGAACTGATGTGTGAGCCACGTGCTACGCTTTGGCCGGACCAATGGCTACCAAATGCAGGCTGTACTCATAAATATGACAAGGGTTTGTTCTCAACATGGCACATAATAAACATGAACATAATAAACATGGCATAAATGTTATCTGCTGTTATTGTTTAATGTAACTGTCCAATTTCAGTGCTATGGAAGTGACGTAAAACGCTAACATATTTTCTTTCCTTCCTCCTGTGGGCTACACATCACAAATACATATAGTTGTACTTTTTCATTAAACGTTGAACATGTTACTAAACCTCTCTTTACCGACACAGAAATACTTCCACCCAGCGCCCTGTACATAATATCTTGATCTGAGCACATACTTCTCGTTCTGATCTCTACCCAACTGCGAAATGCGATATGACCACTACCCGTTCGGTCTGAACTCTAGCCTCGTTGTCTTACCCCTCGGTCTGACCACAACCCACGGCTGCCCCCCCCCCCCCGTCTGACCATTACCCCACGCGGGTGTGCCGACAGATCCTTTTGGCCGATAGCGCCCAGTGTGTGGCCGTCCAGGCGTTCCTGCGCATGTGTAACCTCGAGTACACGGTCGAGCAGCGGGCCAACGCCGAGAACATGTCTCCCTCCGGCCGCGTGCCGCTGCTCAGGTGCGTGAAGCGGGACTGTGAATGTTGCTCCGTTCGGTGAACTTTCCGGGGTTTCGGGGGATAGGCTGTTGTCCTTAGGGCGTGTGTCCAGTTTGGTGATCTGCTTATTTCTTCACCGTTATTTCGCGAGGCAGAAGCTGATTTTACCTAAGCCAATGCGAATCCTCGACATAGCTCCCTTGGCCAGACCTAGCGAGTGCACGTCCTGCGCCAAGGGGCCTAGCTGTATTCGATTGGACAAGAGACATAGTGTAATCCGCTTTGGACTACGGGACCTGTTCCGGCCCCTTGCAATGCGTCAGGCGCAGGCCTGTTTTGTAAGTGCGTCTGAATGAACATTAGATTATTTTCTCTAAAATCGACTATCTCTTTTCCTAGGTATTGACATGTTTGGCATGTTGACAGGTGCGGCAAATTCGTCATCTCCGAGTTCGACCCGATCGTGGCGTTTGTCACCAAGAAGGGCGTCGTGCTGAATAGCTTGGACAGCAAGCAGCAGGCGGACATGCAGGCATTCATATCGCTCGTGCACAACATCCTCGGTGGGTGCTACCGGCGGACGGAGGCGGTAACCACGTGCTTGTCGGCGGGTTTGAGTTCTTCCTCTATTTTTCTAAACGTCGCCGATGTTTCCGCGCGTTTCGTGGATAATCTATGATCTCATTTCCAATAAAACGTCTACTCGGTAGCATCGTAAATATATCTGTGAAATACGATGCCATGTTGTGCTACGTAGTGCAAGATGTTAAAAAAGTTGGAACACTTCGTGATTCTTCCCACAAATTATGTCATTTTCGTGAAACGCTTCCGGTTTGTGGCCAAGTAGGTATTCTAGCGAGTACCACCCATATATTATGCAATGAATTCAGCTCCAAAAATATCCCAAAAAATCATCGCTACGGTAGGTGTGCGACCTCTATTAACCGTGCCCACCCGTGTCTGCAGGTAACGCCGAGCTCTACCTGTCCTGGCTGGACGGTGAGACGTTCGAGACGGTCACGGCGCCCCGCTACGGCTCGTTCCAGCCGTGGCCGCTGGGCGGCGTTCTCACCTGGCTCCGCCGACGCAAGATGGCAGCACGGCTGCAGGCGCTCCAGTGGGCTGACAAATCGCTGGATGCCGTATACGCGGAGGTGAGGGGGAAGAGAAAAGTGCAAGGCAAAGCAGAGGGAGGGATATAGGGATTTGTAAGCTCTTTGAATTCTGAGCTGCTCCATTGCGAGCTTCTGCTAGTTATTGCGGTGAGTTGACGGTAAAGCTGGTCAATGGCCATTGGATCAGCTATTACCCAAGTTCATGAGCTTTCGAGACAATGTGTGGATTCTCTGACGAGTCGCGGGGAGTGGCATTATGGACTGTCAATTTTTTATGAATGTGCTTTTCGATAAGCGTGTTTTGGTCTTTTATCCTGCGTGATACTCGTAGATAGCGAACTTCGACAGTTAATCAGCAGTTTAGATCGGCTTATCAGTTGCATTGCCACACACTTGCAGCTGCAGCATTTGAACGCATCGGTTTTGACCCATGTGCCTGCGCTCATCAACTCGTCTCCCTCAGCATCAGTCCAGCTCATCCCGCCTCACGGCCTCGGCTTCTTCAGCCCTTCGCCCACTCACCCTCCACTGATTCATTCCTCTTACTGACACTAACGCTCCTTGAAGTCCTGTCCTGTCCTTCTTAACCGATTCCCCACCTCCCTCGTTAACCCCTTCTTATCGCCTCTTCATTCCCCGCTAACATTCCTCTCTTCTCTCCATCAGGTGGACACGTGCTGCCGCGCGCTCTCGGAGCGTCTCGGTCGGGAGACGTACTTTTTCGGCAGCCAGCCGACCCCGCTGGACGCCCTGGTGTACGGCCACCTGTACACCATCATCACTACACCGCTGCAGGACACCCGGCTGGCCAGCATAGTCAACGGCTACAGCAACCTGGTGCGGCTCACCAACCACGTGGACGCAGAGTACTTCAAGGGAATCGAGATCATCGGCTAGGGCGATAGAGCCGCGACGGAAGGCGTCGCTCGACCGTCGGCAGAGTAGAGAGAGAGCGAGGGAGAGACTGGAGAGAGTGTGAGAGGGTTATGAAGCGGACTTTTGAGGTGAATGGAGGACGTGGGTAGTGATCGCTTGCTGAGATATTCTTGTAGAAATGCAATGGCTTTGTGATACGTCAGTGCTGCTTGAAGTGTCGTCAGGTCACCCGTTGCGAATTGGAGTTCGTCTTGGGTTAGGCGGTGTCTGAGACTGCCAGGGCCGCTGGCTGGCGATGTATATTGTTGTGTGTCTTGTTGTTATACCTGGGACTCGCGATGAGTCTGTGACTTTGAAGCCATCGTTGAGATCGTGCATATTCGTTGACTACGGAATACACGGATCTTAACGAAAGGAGTCGTGACATTTGTATTGGTGGTGATAGGAATGCGATTGCTGAACATAGAGTTCCTGTGTCCTATAATACGGCCCATGTTTTCACTTCACCGCCACCAAAACCACCATTTTGTTCCTTTGTATTCTCACTGAATGCTATGTAACGAACCTCAGCGAAGGCGTAATCGGCGCTTTGTCACGAGATTCGATATTTTGACTTTTTGCTTTTTTTCTAGCGCATCTGAGACATTTTATTTTTGACGCATAAAACACTGTGACGTATTTTCTGTTTTCATATCGAGAAAAGTACTCTATTTTCTGCATGATGTACTGTAATGTATGTTTCCCACACTATATTTTGTTAGAAATCCAGTAACCGTCAATATTCACCTGTAATCTCCACCTTGCCGCCAGCCGAATCACTACCTCTCTCTATCTCGCCACAGGAGATGTCGCCTCCTCTCCTCTAGTACCGCTCCTCCACTCCCGGGCGCCGCACACCATGTCTGTGCGCCCGCTGGAGGACGTTTGGGAGGTGCGTGGCCTGCCGGTGGTCGGTGACCCCTCTGACCCGGGTCAGGTCACCGCCTCCGGTCCGCGGGCCGTCTCCTCGTCGGACCTCAGAGCCGCTGCCGACGACGGCGGCGGCGTGGTCGGACGGGTGGCCATCATCCGAAAACAGAGGTCAGTGGTGTCGGAGCGAGCGGGAACGGATGATTCAGTGAGTACTGATTATTGTGGGCCGTAAAGGCGTGCTTTTTTATTTCATGTATAAAATGCTATCTAGAGCTCCGCCTCTGTTTATAGGACGTTTGTCGTATTTTCAAATCTGTCGAGGACGTGCCCTATCGAGGACCTCACTGGATGCGTCAGGTTTATGCTGTAGCCAGAAGGGGATCCGATCAAGTGAGATTTTTTTACGGAGCCAGAAGTCCAGTCCAACTCGTCCACAAATCATCGACATGCTTGATGGGCTTGTTGGCAAAGTTTTATATATGCCCAACCCACCTGATCTTTCCCCGGCCTGGCCAGTGTAACCAACCACCCAACCCGACCTCCCCATTCCCCCTCCTGTGACCCCTCCACTCCGTGACCTTCCCCTCCCCTCCTCCCCCGACCAGGTTCGTACGTCTAGAACAGGAGCGTCGTCGTGAGATGCGCCTGGTCGAGTCGCGCATCGAACAGGTGGCAGTGGAGGAGGCGCGGCGGATGACCAAACTGCTGGGGTACGGCGAGGACGATCTGGTCCGCTGGAAACGCCGGATCGAGCCGCAGCACTTCAACACGGTACGATACGGACACGGTACAACACAGCAAGGGGATAGATATATCGAGGGCATGCAGGGATATATCGAGGGACAGCGACAGCTGGGTACGATTTGGTATTTACAACACCGGTTGATATCGGACTGAGCAGGATCTGTGCAGCCGATGACTTGCAAGTTTTCCAATAGTGAATCTATCCGTGCAAGGAGCCGCGAGGGGCAGCTCTTATTTCCCCTCTGCTCATGAACTTCGGACCGCGGTCGTTCATTTCTGATGTTTGTGATCTGTTAATTCTTTATTTGATTCTCAGTAGGTATATACTTTGACTTCGAAATACTCGAAGTCGAAGCACATATCGAGAATCAAATATCAAATTAGACCTGATTACGAACCGTTTCATTGCTGGTTCTTCAATAAATTTGTGCCTGATCTAACTCACTGTTCGACCTGATTATCGCTGATGTAATTGTAAATGAGTTCCCAGAAGTCGTTTCTTGATGCTCCCGATTACCGTATCTATTTGTGCCGTTGCTGGGCCGGCGGCTAGTCAAAGAACACCGATCTGTGATATGATCTGTCCATCTCTAACGAACCGGTCCGATCTCTTTCGGCAGTACTCGGCGGCAGACTTCACCACCCTGATGGAAGACCTGCACGCTATCTACCGGGCAAGGCAGGAGATCATAGCTGACTGCTTCAGCCGACAGATGTCGCTAGAGGCGGAGCGCACGGCGCGCCTCCGGGACGTGTTCAAAAAGTACCATCCGCTCCTGACCAGGGCGTTTCACAAGATGCCTGCCGAGGTGAGAAAATACGGGCTCAGCCCCGGCGACTCACTAGGGTGCCTGCCCAGACCAATGTCTCCCCCTATATCCTATTATCCTCCCGGCTCTGAAATGGTCTCATTGGACCGAAAGGGCCTAACCCAACAAAACAAAAAAAAGTGAGAAAATGTAGAAACGCATCTACTCGTAGTGGGTTCCAATCGCACCGAACAATAGTTGGGACAAAGTCGGGTAAAATAAAACAGCTTGCGTGCCATGTATCAAAACGTGAGCCAGCCCGCTTTTCTCGCAGAAGTCACTCTTACCTGCCATTCAGTCTCACCTCACGGCGACGTGAACGATCCTCTCCTCTCCTCAGGTAGAGGAGCAGCTGGAGCTGGAGGCGGTGGCGCTCAACGAGATGATCCTCAGTAACCTGCGCCAGTACGCCGAGCTCCGCTTCAACCGGCTCACTGCTGAGGTGGAGGCTAAGCAGAAGCTCAAGAACCTGTGGAAGGTGCGCCGGGACGCCTGGCGGACGCTCAATATACTGCAGGTGAGTGGTAAGGTGTCTATGGAGCTTCCAGGGCGCTCTCAGTCAGTGTGCCCGCTGCCCAGGGTGCTCGTAATGCGGGCGTGAGAGCCCCGAGAGGCTGGCGCACACATATAACGAGCAAGGCGATTGACCATGCTTTAGGTACTTCCTGCCAATTGATTTTCATTTATACGGTCATTACAATTTGTGCCATTGCTAGAACTTTGAAATCTTCACCAAACCTTCACATTCCGAAACCGAACATTTAATTACAATGTCCATGTTATTATCCCGAACTCCTAGCTCCCCCTCACCTCTCCTGCGTTCCGGGCAGGCGGAGAAGCGTCTCTCCGAGTACCTGCGGGCGGCCGCCGTGGAGAGTCACGTGGAGGCGTCTCTGGCAGAGCTGGAGACGTGCATGGACACCGTGTGGCAACACTACCGGGAGCACGTGACCGGACTGCCAGACCTGTTCCTCAAACACGTCACCGACGAGTCGGTGGATGAGTGGCAGGTTCGTAGGAGAATGACAAATGGGCGAGTGGCAAAAGATAAGTCGGGGGTGTATAAGCCGGTAGATGGACGAATAAAATGTCGATTAAACGTTACCGACGAATCATAGATAGGTCCGTGAAGGAATAGCACGTCGGTAGCATATCACCAGCGAGTGGTAGGTCGGATAACTAATTGCCAATGAGACGGTAGACGAATGACAATAGCAGGCCAGTTGCATATAAGTTAGCGTTTCAAAGGTCAGTAGCAGGCATGCTGACGAATGACAGGCCGGTGTCAATCTACCAACGAGCCGGGTCATCTCCGAGTCGGAAGGATCAGATAACTACATGCCATTTCAGCCGCCATTACCACCTGGGTCTGTGTGTGCGACAGGACCAGGCGTACGAGATCCTGAACTCTATGAGCACCATGGTGACGGCGCACTGCAAGTCGTACCGGCGACTGTACCTCGACCTGGAGAACGCCTGGTACGAGCAGCTCGACAAGGTCGGAGACGACCTGGTGCACAGGTCAGTCGGGCGGAGCGGAGATGACCTCAGGTCAGTTGGCTCAGAAGTCAGATGATCTGAGATCAGTCTGCTGGGTAAGGTCGAGTAGGAGACCTCAGGTCACTCGGCTGGGTAAGGTCGGATGGAAGATCTCAGGTCAGTTGGCTGGGTAAGGTCGGATAAGAGATGACCTCAGGCCATTCGGTTGGATAAGGTCGTAGACGACCTCAGGTTAGTCGGGTGGATAAGGTCGGATGCAACCTCAGGCTAGTGGGCTGAGACGACCTCAAGTAAGTGGGCTGGGAAGGTCGAAGACGACCTTAGGTCAGTCGGCCGGATAAAGTCGGACAGGGGACGACCTCAGGTCAGTGGGCTGGTAACTGTGAGGATAGGTCGAGGGATTATCTCAGGTCAGTTGTATTATGTGGTTGGAAATGTGCGTGGGTGACTGATCAGTGAGTTGTCTGGTTGGGACAAGTCACGACCACGGCATCAGGTCCGTCAGCTATCACCAACGGGGATAGAGGAGAGCAAGATTACTTTACTACTCAGAGGAGAGAACTTGGATAGGGAGGAGGACCTATTTTTGCCTTCTCTTTATCCCTCTTTTTCCCCTTCCTTTTCCGTTTAAATCAAACACTTTGTTACTGTTATCGGGATTTTCTGGTTTATTGCACATGATAAACACTTCACGTTTGCATGGACATGAGACAGAACAGTTGCGAAGATGGTAACCGCCCAGTGATTCCTCAAGACCTCTTGGATAAGCGTAAGCAATATCAGTCAAGTGGGACATATCCACAGCCAACGTATGACTTCATGATGACAGATAACAGAAGTTTCGGACGGAAGTGGCCCTAAGGAGGCACGTGATGAGATGAGACAGGGGACCGCTGTTGGACGGGAGCAGCTCGGCGAACTTCGACTAGCAGACGGCTGGCACCCCGTCAGACGGCCAGCTCAGCCGGTGTGGGTGTAGCTGTAGACGTAGCCCTGGCCGTCCTGGGACAGCGCCACATTGCCGGTGTGGAAGTTCTTACGCACGGTGCTCTCCGTGGTGGTGGTGGTGGCGGGGATCGCCTGTCGTGCCGGGTTGTAGTTGATCTCGAACGCCGAGGTGACGGGCTGGCGCACCTGCTGGCGCACCGGCTGGCGCACCGGCTGACGGACCGGCTGACGCACCTGTGTGGGCGCCGGCACCGGGGACGGCTCGTAATACTGCTCCGGGCCGCTGGGCAGGTCCGGAGTGGCGTCCACGTGCGTGCTGCTGATCACCTTGAAGCCACCAGCGCCGGCCGTGTACTCGACGCGGTACAGCTGACCGTCGTCGCCGATGAACTCGTACGAGCCGCGGCGCTCGCCGTCGTCGCTGGTGGTCTCCTTGAAGAGCACGCCGTCCTCCTGGGCGTAGGCCACGTCTGAGCTGCCGTCCAGCCGCACCTGGCGGGTCTCGGCCAGGATGGCGGCCGTGGCCGGGTCGCCCGAGAAGAGGCCGCGCTGCTGGGGCGCCGCGGCGCACGCCACAGCCAGGCTGCACACTACCAGAAGTCTGTACATCCTGACGGCGGCTGTAGGAGGACGGGTGTCGAGTGATGCCGACGGCCGGCGCGCGCCGTCTTATGTAGCGGGGCCCGCGCGCCCGGCGGCGGCGGCGGCGGCCTTCGGACGGGTCCGCGGGCCGCCGGGCCGGTCTCACGTGCCGCCACCGGTCGCCGGTGACGGAGGAACCAGAGCAGACGGACGGACCGTGACGGGATGACGCCGGCTGGCGGCCAGCCGCACCGGCCGAGCAGCGGCTGCCTTCATGACGTAGGACTTGGTGCGGCCGCCTCTTGAAAACATCGACCATCGAATGTTTGCACCGATGAATTCGGCTGTAGGTCTCTCGCTCCAGCACGCTTTTTCATTGCTGTCATGGAATGCATGTCAGCCACTTAGTGGCGCCTATTAAAACGGCATGCTGTCTTATTATCCTACATAACGACGTGTTCGTGCGGCTAGATTTCGCTTTATCGCCATTCAAAGATTAATAGTCAAAACAGTTCATATGTCCGAGAAAAATTATTGGAGCAATTACAGCGGACCTCCTTGCAACACCCCTTATGTGGCAGATTTATGTTATTTACATTCATTCATCACCTACCGGCTGGAAGCAGGCAACGAGTCCTAGTTCATTGCACGCCATAAATCCCATTAAAGCGTTCTTATCGATCGAATGTTTGATGAATGACGCCGTAAACTAAGGCCGATCTCCGCCCGGTAGGCATCTGTGATAGTGTCGCAGTATTTTCTGCATAACGAAGACAACTTATCATCTTCAAATGATTCATTGAAACGGACTTGCCTGTTCCATATAATTTGTCAAATGCATGTCTAATGTGTATTCTGTTGTTCTTTTGGTCCAAATCCAATGGCAGTAGTACACTCGGGGGCAGATTGATGTTCCACAACTCCTTATCCACCGGGCTCCTATGGCTCAGCATTGGCAGCAGCCGCCTGGTACCGGTAGACTGTGCCGCTTCACTTACTTGTCAAGCGGCACAGCCTACCCACACCGTATGCCACCGGTCTGGGTCGGTGGCTGGAAGGCGATCTGGGCCGCCTGTGACGTCAGCGCAGCGGTGAGGGCCGAGCCCGGAGGCATGGCTCGGGTCGGCGCGGCGCGGCGGCTGGCGAGGGCTGGGGAGTGAGGTGGGGTGGGAGCACGGACCATCGCGCGGCTGAGCGAGTGTAGTTAACTTTCGCGTCTCAAGGCGCCAATTATTCTACCCAACAATTGTGCTAAAGCAGTTGTTAAAATGTCCTATCCCCAAGACAGCGCCTATCATCATACTTGCCATGCACATTACGACACACTTAAAGGTAGTGTGCCACCTTTGAAAGATTTCCCATTTTATTTTTCCTAGGATAAGAAGCTTCTGTTTTTACCTAATATCGCAAAAAAAAATCAAAAATGGGCCTGGAATAGTGCCTTTTTCGCCTAAAAGTTTATCGGTTTTTAGATATGTATAACAACTGTAGTGGGCTCACCTGCAAACAGGCGTCGGGCAACAATCGCGAATGCGGCGCACTTGTGACAATAAGCAAAGGTCATTATAGTGTTACGACCATACGACGTACGGGAATGAGTTATCAGCTGTCTAATCGTAGACAACACAATGTCGAGCCTTAAACTGTAGTATTGGTATTGTTTCTTTTATTTGGCTGTCGAACATTATTTATGGTTTGAAATATGATTTTATGTAAAATAATTGATATGAAAAAGCCGTCTTATAAGTTATGACCCCATTTCACCACACGTAAGTGGCAGAAATGACAATGATCAGCTGACGCATTTTTCTTGGCCGAAGTCAGAGCGCGCGGCCCGACGCACCACGCGTATTTGGAAATTCCGACCTCGACGAGCATCAGAAGCCAACTAACAGGCGTGTTCGAAACCGCAGGAGCTGATGATGAACGGGTTTATCGAAACTTGATTGGATGAGCATATCGGTAATAGCGATTTCAGTGTGTGCATTTATTGTTCATAGTGGTGTGAAATGTGGTTGGGGTACGACCGACAACCCGTCGGGGCGAATTTCGCACTGGGGTACTCAAAATTTGAAGAATTTAAGACGTTTCCATGAGTTTTGAAGGTATGGATAAGTTCTAAAAATCCGGTTCTCCTTATCTGGGCCATTAACTCCATACGGTCCAAGAAAGCTGGCACACTACCTTTAAACGTAACATTGGGACAGCCGATAGAATTTATATCACACGTGCATCGAGTTGCGGAGCTACATTGTTTTAACAGATATGTATTAAGGCCTTGATTGAGCTCATTGGTGTCTATTATTTCGCACAGCAATCGTCCAGAGACGTGGGAACTGGGGTTTTTGGATAGCGCGGCGTCCCAAAGCAACTCTTATGTTCCTCTAATGTGTGGTCGCAGCCACCAATAGCAAACCGTTCCATCTAGGAAAAATAAGTCGCGCACCCGGGACGGTTCGAACCGGGTTTCTCCAACCGGTCACCCCACGACGCTAGCGTGTATCCACTGAGCTGCCGAAACCAGCGACCACCCGCCGCGGTCAAACGCGATCAAATGTCACAATACTGTCATTGGCGGTCAGCGGGTGAATGTCATTTTGTTTTGCGCGGACGAAGACCATTCTCGGTAGCTCAGTGGATGAACGCTCGTGTCGTGAATTGGCCGGTGGGAGAAGCCCGGTTCGAACCCCCCTGAGTGGCCGACTTTTTGGCTCCAGTTGGAACGGTTTGCTATTGGAGGCTGCGACCACATATTAGAGCAACAGTAATAATCGCTTTAAATTGGAGCGTTGGCTGCGGCACTACTCATAGCTCCCAGTTCCCACGTCTCTGGACGATTGCCGTGCGAAACAATAGACACCAATCTGCTCAATCAAGGCCTTAATACTAATATGTTATACGAAATATAGCTCCGCACCTCGATGCACGTGTGACATAAGTTCTATCGGCTGTCCCATTGCCACACTTAAATGTGTCGTAATGTGCATTGCAAGTATGATGATAGGCGCTGTCTTGGGGATAGGACATTTTAACAACTGCTTTAGCGCAATTGTTAGATAGAACAATTGGCGCCTTGAGATGCGAAAGTTAACTACACTCGCTCAGCCACGCGATGTCCGTGCTCCCACCCCACCTCACTCCCCAGTCCTCGCCAGCCGCCGCGCCGCGCCGACCCGAGCCATGCCTCCGGGCTCGGCCCTCACCGCTGCGCTGACGTCACAGGCGGCCCACATCGCCTTCCAGCCACCGACCCAGACCGGTGTCATACAGGTGGGTAGGCTGTGCCGCTTGACAAGTAAGTGAAGCGGCACAGTCTACCGGTACCAGGCGACTGCTGCCAATGCTGAGCCATAGGAACCCGGTGGATAAAGAGTTGTGGAACATCAATCTGCCCCCGAGTGTACCTACCTGAGCATCTCGAGTCTCGACCGTCTTTTTGCCAGGCGTTTGCAATGGGGAAAATGCAAAATTTAACGGTATGATGAAAGTAAGAGGGGAAAACAAATACGTTTCCAATGCGCTTAGATGCGTTCTTAACAAATTGGACACAATCCTACATCATGGACCGTGTTTACTTACACAAGATGTCATTTATTGCGCAACATATTAGCTACCATCGATTGCCGTTTGTTTTGTGTGCCACCTGCTGCGGATCAATTACGTGCTACCCGGGTTCCAGGCCAGCCCCGCGACCTTGTGGTGCATCCCCCACACTGCATCTTCAGGGTCGAGACGGCCCTGTGAGCAGATAACGGCCGATGTGATGCTGATAACGCCTAGTCCAGCGTAACAGCTGCAGCAGTCGTCACGGGGGTTTCTAGTGCAGAAAATAACGAGTTTAACGAGTCTACTATAAGCATCTGGAGCACATTCGTCATTCCCTGGTAATCCTTTTCTGGTTTCATCTCAGCCGCACATAAGGCATTTTCGACCTTCGGGCGGGGTCTACTGCGCGACCGTTCAGTCCTTCAAGACGGAGGACCGGTTCCAACCCTCGGTGACAGGGCGTGGTCCTTGGTGGACAAGTTGTCGCCTGCTGTGTCGTCTCCCTCTTCTCTCGCCCTGTTGGCGCTGTGTCAGGATCAGACGATCTGTCCCGCCGTCTGCGGAAAGCCTTCTGGTATCGAGTACGAGCTTTGTCATCTGTCATTTCAACAGCATCTTTTGCTTTTCTTCTCTCCTCTTTTCATAATTTCCTCTTTAGATCGCATCTTCACTCATTTCGTCTCCTCTTCTCCCTCTCTTTCTCTTTCGCGCCTCTAGACTTTTCTCTTCCTTTTCAACTTCTCATTTACCTTTCTGTCATCTACAGTTCCTTTCCATGGGCGCGGCTGCTGGCGACATTCCAAGCCGCAGCTCTGAGAACTGACCCCTCCCCTCCCTCCCCTCCCCGTGTCCTCCGCCCGGCGCCGGCGGGGGTCCAACTGCCCCTCCCTCCCACTGCTTCCGCCCTGCCCCTACCTGCTCCAGACTGGTCGAACGACCTCGAGTCCTTTGGTGCTTCCCGGCCCGCGATATCTCATCGGCGCCCGGCGACAGTACACCTCGGGGCTCTGATTATTACGGACATTCAGTACCGGCGGCGGCAGAACCGACGTCGGGTGGCCTTTCAGAATGGCATTGGTGCACGCTTCGAGATCAATAGAGTAGTAAATGCGCTGGCTGATGTATGCGGAGAGCTTCATTAGAAGCAACCTATCTCGACTCAATTACGCCGCACGACTCGGGTTTCAAGGACAGGCGTGTGCGTTTGCAGCAGCATAAACAGTGTTGACGAGAAGCGGAGGAGAGAGTAGGTACTGATAGACGGTAATGGAATAAGGAAGACGAGCTGAGAGCACATATAGACAGACGGGACGCAAAGGTACGACTTATCACACGGGACATACATATTGCTAAAGAATTTGACAGAAGAGAGTGAACGGACGTCGGATAGATCATAGAGCACAGAGGGCCAATGCGAAACAGTTGAGAAAGCAGAAACCCATGCACCACAGTCATTTAAACCAGACGCCATACGGTAATTT